GGAGACCGTGTCGGAACAGGGCAGGTTCTTAGGACACTATTATCAGTGTCCTCATAAGAAGACAACATGTGAGTGTGAAGCACTGCAGAGATGCCTATCTGCAAGCCACGGAGCCCAGAGATTTCCAAAACACCACCTGAGGTTAGGAAAAGGCACAGAAAGATTCCCACTCAGATTTCAAAGGGCGCGTGAGTCTACCAAAGCCTTGATTTCAGACCTCCAGCTCAGAGAGAACAATATTTCTGCTGTTTGAAGCCACCTACTTCGTTAGAGCAGCCATAGGAAAGTAAGAAAGATGACCACTATGCACAAGGTCCTATTCTAGTGTCTTAGGCTCAAGGTCAAATGTGATGCGCTTCTACTGCAGGAAACACCAGGGAGGGGGCAGGGCAAGATTGGTTAAGAGGCCTTTACTGTTAGAAGAGCTTTAAAAATCTCCCCTACATACATATACTCCAAGATAAATGAAAGAATGAGCCAGAAAGAGGACACACGCACACGCACACGCATGCACAGCTTCTTTAGAAGTCCTGAGATGACAGCTTTGGATACTGAAATGAGACTTTGTGCTTATGACAAAAAGAAAGTGTGATCCTTAGAAGTCAGCGTGAGGTCACCAGGAACAGGACTTTCCAGCAGCTGCTCATCTCCCTCTACCAGGAAGTCAGAGTGGAAGATGACGAAAGCTCTCCCAGAGACACTCAACAGATTTCTCTTTGGGGCCAGATTGGGCGGTTGGGCTGGGACTTAGTCAACAGCTAACCCTACGGCCTGGTGCATGGCAGGGGAGCCGGGCACGGAGGGCTGCGCTTGCTGGTACCCATGCGGCTCTTACACAAGTGATTCCTTGGTCAACAGTGTTATTCATGGGCTGGAAAATGCAAGCATTGCCAAACTTGTGCTTGACAGAGCAGATGACCCCAAGTACAATTGGGTGTAAGGACTGGTTCTGGGTTTCCACTTACATAGATCAGAGGGAAGTTGTGAGATGTTTTGAAGGAAGTAACCAAGTTGATGACCTGAATGAAATAATAACCACATAATACAAGGAATCAGGAAGTAGATGGTGACACTCAGCCTTGACAAAAGGGATCCAAGAAAGACGTGACAGCCAAGGAGTCTCTGTTTCGCTTGCATCAAAGTGCTGTGACCTGTGGCTTACATGACAGAAAACCAGGGTCAGTTTGGTATGCAAAAGCCTTTTAAAATGTTAACATTCAAGCCAGGTGTGGTGGTGTGTCCCTGTAAATCCTAGCACTCAGGAGGCTGAGGCAGGAGGATTGCTGCAAGTCTGAGGCCAGTCTGGCTTATAATGTGAGTTCAAGGCCGGCCTGCACTGCATAGTGAGATCTTGTCTCAAAAAGACCAAAAAAAAAGAAGGAGGAGGAGGAGAAAGAGAAGAAGCAAATAAATTTCTGTCATTGAAATTTGACAGATAGAAAATCTGTTACTTCTGTCTATGCAATAAGATATAACATAAAGCCATAATAATAAATAACAATAAAACATTCTTGATCTAGTACAGACATAGATTTTTTTTTTTAAGCCAATGAATGGCACAGAAGAAATTTCACAACCATGACTCTTTTTGAAAGGGAACTGAGTATGAGGAGATAACACTCTAAGCCCTGGCAACACAAGAGGGCTGTTTGATGGATGCTCTGGATGAACCTGTTGGATGATAAAGGAGAGCAGTACATTTGGAATTCACATAATGTGCAAAGGTGGTGTTAGGTGGCCTGAAGAGTGAAATGTGAAAGAGAAACTTTAAAACAAACAGAAGAAAAATTTAGAAGTAAATATTTGTGGTTTGGGGAAAGGGCAAGATTTAGAACACACAAAGCACAAGGCAGGAGGGCAAAATTATTCAGCTATTTTAGAACTGAGGATTTTGAAGGATAACACACATAAAATTATCAGATTCTGACAGATTAAGAAAAGTCGCTTGCAGTGTCAGTACTGTAAGAGGTTAATAAGTAAACTATACAAAGAATATTTGGAACATAGACGATGTGACTGAAATATAGAGGGAAAGTTTACATTTTAAAAAGTGTTACAGTAAGAAACAAACTGTCATAAATCCTTCCAAAATAGTCTTCCTTGCTTTGAAAACACCTATGCTGTCATTCGTGCCCCTTTCTGATACAGTTCTGACAGTCATCTTTTGTGTCTCTAGTTGCACTCTTAAGGTTGCTTCTGTGTCCTGGATCAGCTCAAAATATTTATCTTGCATGGTCATTGGACTGTGGAGCAGTGACGCTTGTCAGACGGGAGGACACGCTGTGTTGTGTTTATGAGCTGGCTTTCCACTGAACTTGGCAGCAGCGTTCACCGCGTTTTTAATCACATCTCTTGAGGAAAGATGCTGCTGCGGGGGGACTTCCAGACCTGCTCTGGTAGCGGCAGGAGTGGTGGGGTAGTGTGTTCAGAGCGAGGGGGAGACTCAGTTAAAGGCAATGTGCCTTTTACTCCGCTAAAACTTTTTTTTAAAGAAACAAATTAAACATTGGCCGTATGTTTTGACTATATGGTGAATCCACAAGTGAAACAGGAAGCTCATCTGGAAAACAAGCCTGACTCCATTTATCCACCGAAAACTATGTACTCAGTGCCAGTCAGCTGTGTTGGGGGCGTGGGGTAGCAGACAAAACCTCTACCTCATGGGGTTTAAATAACCCATGGCTCTCCCCTCCATAGGAAGGAGGAGGATTTTCCTTTAAAATCGTGATCATACAGTTTTAAAGTTGGGAGGGCCCTTGGGTGCATGTTTTCTAAATTCTTTTTTCTCTCTTGAGTAACAGACAGCCCAGACCCTTGTCTGAACCACACCCCTTTCTTTTCTATGTTTTAACTTAGTGATGTTGGTAATGCAGGTCAGCAGGCTTCCCTGGCACACTGGTAACGGTAACGCACAGATCACGCTTTGATTGTGCCCATCCCCCTCCCTGCATCTTCACTCTCCCTCGAGCTCCTTCCTGATCTCCACTAGTTTACTTTCTATTTTCCTGACCTTGCTCTAAAAAATCCCTCTTACAGGAGGAAACGGGATACTTATCTGAGGCTAGCTCACCGCACATAACCAGCTCCGGTTCCAGCCATCTCCCCCAGAACACTTGATTTCACCTCCTCTGTGGCTGAATCACAGCCCACTGTGCACCAGCCCGCTCTTCCTTTTCCTGCTCACCCGTGGATGGGCCGCAGGCTGTTCCCACAGCTTTAGCTACGCGAGCTGCGCCTCCGTCTGTGGGGATGCAGGAGTCACTGCAGTGCATCATCGCAGTTTTCCCAGGAGTGCACCGAGGAGCGGGTGTAGCTGAGAAATCCGTCCACACCCTCCCACAGGGGCATGCGACTTCCCAGGACTGTGTGCGCACTTAATCTCCAATGCTCTGGCAGTGTGTTTACTGCCTAAAGAGAATATTTAATGTAACAGTGGCATAAGGAGGTAATGAGAGAACATAAACTGATCATCATGCACATAATTAAAGCTCAGGTATGGAGGTGCACATCTGTAATCCCAGCATTCAGGAGGCCGGGGCAGGAGGATTGCCGGGAGTTCAAGGCCACCCTGAACTCCATAGTGAGATGCTATCTCCAAAACACCAAAGAAAGAGAAAATGAAGCTCAGTGTTAGCTATTCCTGTATCTTGATTACGATATGATTTTAAAATGCTGTTTTCCTCCATGTGCATATCAAGAATGGTATCAATCAACTAACTGATTTTCCAAAATAATAATCAAAAAGGAGATTTCTTTATCCAGGATTAGCGGACCTGTGGTACTTGGTTGTTCTCCCTCGAATGACAAGGCTTTAATTGTCTGGGTCATAACCATCACCTGAGTCCAGTACCAAAGGATGGGGTGCTGAGCCAACTTCTCATCTCTGATAAAGTGGGAATGTGGGATCTTGGGACAGACTTAAAGCCTGAGAACCACCTACCCTTCGACATTTCAGGGGAACAGACAATCTTCAGGGAAGCCTGGATACTGGTGGCAAAGTTCTTCCCAAACAAATTGAAAGCATCATACCACAACAACATATGCACACCCATGTTTATAGCAGCACAGTTTGTAATAGTTAAATCTCGGAAATGGCCCAAATGCCAATCAACTGATGAATGGATAAAAAAGATGTTTTTTAATGCAATGGAATACTACTCGGTCATAAAGAAGGATAGATTTGACACATTTATAGGTAAATGGATGCACCTGAGACTATATCCTTAAGTGAAATAAATCAGACACGTGTAAATACTGCCTTGTCTTTCTGGTGTGAGACACTGAAAATGTAAGTAAGAACCAAAGTACAGTAAATATTTTGAAATAGGAAGAAATTTCAAAAGAAAAAGGGGAACTAACAAGGTGGGAGGGGGGAAAGGAAGAAAGGGAAAAGAAAAAAATGAGAAAAACAGTTTTGTCAATAAGGAGGGGAGGAGGAGTTGAAGGGAGGGGAGAGGAATGGCAAAAGGAATCACGTGTGTCACGTACAGCTTCAAGTTCCCCGTGATGAATGTGATAGTTATTATGTACATCTAAATGGTACCAATAAACTTTAATAATAATAATAATACAAAAGGGAAGTAACACACCATCCCCGAGAACACCCTCCCGGGGTGCACAGCGACACGTGGTGGGTCAGCCAGTCACCCCAGCACAGGGCACCTGGACTCCGGAGTGGGCCGGGTGGGAGTGTGCGACCCTCAGCCCCCTCAGCCGTCCTTCTGCAGCTGCTGGTGGAATTCCGCGCCAGGAGGAGGTGCCTGGCCCTGGGAGGTGAGACCTATTGTGCTTCTTCCCAGTTATGAAACCGCATGTAATTGCCACTTGTCCAAGGAGGATTAATGGCACTCAGCTAGCTTTCCAAAAAAGGGTGTGACCAGGAACATGAATAACGCTCACTTCATTAGAGATCTAGGCTCCCAGGAATTCGCAAGATCCTGGAGGGCCAGGCCTGCTAGGGGCGGAGCCAGCTGTCCTCATTAGAATAAAGTAAACAAGGGCAAACCTATTTATAAGTGGAAAACATGCATGCTCATCTGCAGGCGGCAGAGAGTGGCCACTGGTCGGACAGCTCAGGCGGCGGGACCAGCAGCAGGCAGCATGAGTTCCAAGTCAAAATCCATGGGGGTCATCGGAGCCCCTTTCTCCAAGGGGCAGGTGAGTAAAAAGCCTGCCTTGGAAGGACAGGTCCTCCTGGGTATTTTGGGAACTTTCAGATGCCTCCGTGGTTACTGCCTTGTTAATTCAGTTTCCCCACCTTATCTGGCAAAAGCATGCATGCTTTAAAGCCTGCTTACCATCTTGTGACATTATCTTACTAGGGTCTCATCTCTTGCTACCTATGCTTTTGAGCCCTGCTCTCTGCCAAGCTGAGTTTCATTTAAATCTACTGAATGTTTGCTCACATTTCAGCAAAAAGAATTTATTTGAATGGAAATGCCAGTTTCTGCCTTGTGGCTCCTTCTCTGGTTTTGTTGGGCTGTCTCCTGAGGATGGAGAGGAGAGAGAACTGTAAAAACGCCTCTGCTTGCCTGGGTGATGGATGCTTAGGAAGTTTTCATGGATGTGTGGGAAGCTTTAGGCTTCTTTAAATTTGGTAAATGTGAATATCGATTGCTTTATGTGACTTTGTGTGACTCACCTCCTCGGAGGGCATCAGTGAGCCTGGGAAAGCTCAAGGCCTAGAACCCTTCATGGACATCTCTTGGGGTGGGGAACAGCTGACCTACATATGGGCCCCGCTGGCAGGAAATGAGCTGCTCAATCTTTTCATCACCCCAAAGCCACCAAAGTGCGAGTCCGCACCTGACAGCAATGTTTAACTTGTCTCTTTTTTGCCAGTCACACGTACTCTGGCAATCACGAGATGACAGAATACCTTAGAACTGGCAGTTCTGTGCTTAAAGGGAGAGGGGGCACCCAGCGAAGGCAAGATGTGAGTCGCAGTTCCTGAGATTGAGTCTCTCTCACAGCGGCCTTCCGGTTCTCTTAGGATCTAGGACTTTCACCTCCTCTTAGTTTTGAATTCTTTCTGTGAACTCTGACTTTTTATTGCAACACGGAATTGGGAGAGGTCAGAGCCAGAACCCAAACGGCATTTGCACTGTGAGTAAATATTACTTCCCTGCCCCGGAACCCTCCAAGAGCTCAGCTGGAACACAGGGGTGTGTGCTGACCTGTGTTTCTTTTCAAAACCTACAAAAGACTCATCTATTCTTGGCATGGATGATGACTCAGATAGACTGAGAAAACTGACTGGAAAGAAGAAGGAAATAAGGGGAAAGGAAGAGGGGAGAGAGAGGAGGAGGAAGAAGGGAGAGAGAAGGAACACGCTCTGGCCTCTGGGCCTAGCAAGTCCCTAGCCTGGAAGGGGACGGGATGATGTGTTAAGATACATCTTGATATATTTCCCATCTCAGGAATCCCCCCCAGCTCATCTCCCATTAAAACATGACCATAAAAAAATGAGATTTCTTAGACAGCTGTGGTTGTGCACACCTCAAATCCCAGCACTCAGAAGACTGAGGCAGGAGGGTTCCTATGAGTTCAAGACCAGCCTGGGCTCCACAGTAAGTTCAAGGGCAGCCTGAACTACTGTCTCAAAAAACAAAAATGATGCTTACTATCCCATGATTGTAAGGGCTGACTGAGATCAGTTTTTCTGTGCTAAGCCACAGAGGTGCAAAATGGCCACTTGTCAGCATCTCTCCCCACCTAAAAAAGAAAAAAAAAAGGTTAAAAGAGAGTAGAGGGCAGGTGACCGCACAGTTGCATCTGAGAAAGAGCTGTGTCCTCTGCCCTGACCCCTTGCAAGGCAGCTGGTAAACGGTGAGACAGGTATTATTTTTCTCTTTTGGTTAATCAGGCTCAGAGAGGCCTGGTAATTTGTTCAGATCACACAGCCCTGACCATGTGACTGTAGCAAGACTGCTTGATTTGAATGCCAGTCCTCCAGTCCTGCGCTGATGCCCCTGAGACAGCTCAGCATAGTGGATCTCATACCTACGGCCAGTGAGGAGCTGAGCTCTGTCCAGGAAGTCTGTGGGTAGATAACGGAGAAATGAGGGGAGACCCCGTGACAGCCAGGCGCGGTGGTGCACTCTCCTAATCTCAGCACTCAGGAGGTTGTGTCCGGAGGACTGCCACAATCTCAAAGGCCAGCCTGGGCTAGTTAGTGAAAAAAATCTCTTTTTTAAAAAAAGTCACGAGAAGCAGTTTGAGCCAAACAAATAGGAAAAAATACTAGAAAGTGTCTGAGAAATTCTACGACTGTCTCAGAGCAAATACAGCGTCATCTAAAGGTTCTCTGCGGTTTGTTCTGACTTCTGAGAGGGGAAGGGCCAAAGGGGCTAGAGGGCTTCATTGAATTGTTAATGTGCTGAGAATTCACTGTGCGTCAGAACTGCGCACGTCCAGTGTCCTAAAGATAAGGAAGTTTAGATTGAAATTTGACAACAGAGAAAAAAACAAAAACAGACACAAAACTAAAGGCAAAATATAAACCAAGTAGCACCTTAATAAGGGTCAAACAGGGAGGAGACACTGCAGCTTCTCCATTGGGGAAGAGCTTGGTAGGAAGCACAGTTTGGAATGAATTCACTGTGAAGAATAAGAGCTCGAGGTGACAGACAGGCTGATCACCTTGAGTCGTTTCTCTCAAGGTGCGGCTTAGGTGAATGAGGACATCACATAGACTTGAAGTACAATATCACGAGCCAATCCAAAAAATAAATAAATAAAACAGGAAAACGGAAGTGGAGTGAAGGGAGAAAGTATGGCAGGCAGAGCACATGGGGTGCCTTGACATCAGGGAGAGGAATTTGACAGGGACTATTTGCCTGACATTCGGGGCAGGTTCTGCTCTCATTTGACTGCAGAAGAAATAATTGCCGATTTCAGGGCTCCAGTGCCGATCTGGGAGACAAACGCGTGTCTCTTGGCCCACTGCTTGCTCATCTGACAGCAGCGCACAACTTCCAGTGTCTGGAAGGTCCGGTTTAGAAAACAGGATGGGGAAGGCACAGGCGGGAAAGAGAAGAGCAGCTTCCCCCTGGCGCGTGGAGGGGAGCATCTCAGGGGCTGCAGGGCCAGGACTGAACCTAAGCTCCCTGGGTTGGGCTCACGTGTCCTTTCATCTTCCAGGAGATGGTTTGCTCTGTGTCCCTAACTTTGTGCTTTGCAGACTTGCATGCCGGATTCTTTCTCTTCTGGGGTCTTTGTCTAAGCTGCTCCCCGTGTACATTTTCTCCCTCATCCTATCCCGTTTTCCTGACCTCTCAGTCCTGCCACAAGACTGAGCTCAAAGAGGAGGCAGCCCTTGCTGACACCCCCGTCCCTGTCCAAGTCAGAAGGACCCCGCCTTTACCCCATGACCTCGAGCACCCACACTGCTGGGATTCGATATCCACATGCTCTGTTGCCTTACAGTTTCTGTCTGCTCTCCGTTATGTTGTCCCTGCTAGCAGAATGATTTGCCAGGATTCAGTATGTGGGCAACAAGGGGGTACAGGTCTTGGGACCCAAAGCACTGGGATGATCCCGTGTCTGCCCCTCGTTAGCCCTGGGCCAGCCGTCCATCCGTCTACCTTACTGTGAAAGTTACACAGAAGAGTCTGTGGATGTGGCATCTCCGGAGGAGCTGACATAGAAACAGTTCCAATTCAACTGATGCAAGGGTGAAACAGCTCTCTGTGTGTGCTTCGGATGGCTGGGATGCAGACTGCAGTGCTTTATGTTCTGATTGTGCAGCCTCGAGGCGGGGTAGAACAAGGCCCTTCGGCGTTGAGAAGAGCTGGCCTGCTGGAGAAACTGAAAGAACAAGGTAATTTTTAAGTTGAAAGGAGATCAGCCTGGCTTCCTCCCTGCCCTGGGAACAGGGGGTGCGGCGGTCAGAGTGCTGTTTACAGAGCGGTGGCCCTGGTGGTCACTGCCGCCACTTCTGTTAGAAAGCAGGGCACTGGAAATCATTCCTCAGGTGGTTTGTCATTCCAGCAAACTACTGTGCAAAAGCACGTACATGTGCAAGAAGTGGCATTGGGTGGGTGGGAGGGGAACCAGAGAATTGAAAAGCCACAGGCACAAGAAGTACCCTAGTCTGGAGTGGGTACTTGTGGGGCAGCTGGAATCCTCTGTGTCCGGTGGGACATAAAGTGGTAGAGTCACTTTGGAAAGTAATTTGGCAATTTCTTCAGTGAACATGTATGTTTATTTAGCAGTTCTACTTATTGATATTTCTTAAGAGAAAACAAATGTCCATGTAAAGGCTTGTACTCAAATATGTAGCAGCTGTATTTATGATAAGAAACAAATGGAGCCGGGTGTGGTGATGTGTGCCTGTAATCCCCACCCTTGGGAGACTGAGGCAGGAGGATCGCCAACTGGCAATATAGGGAGCCAACTGGGCTATATAGGGAGACCCTGTCTCAACACCAAACAACAACAACAACAAAGTGCCCATCAGTGATGGATGAATACATAAAATGCGGTCCTGTGATAGTGAGGTGGTACCCGGCCTTCAAAAGGACCAGGCCAATAACGCAGACTCCTGCTCAGAGGCCAGGCACAGAGGCCCACCTGCTGGCTGATTCTCTGGGTGGGACATTCTGGAGAGACAAAAGCATAGGAAGAGACAGCAAGCCCCAGCTGCCGGGTTGGCTGTGTTTCACCCACTGACTGTTGCAGCAGTGGTTATAAGATGGTCGATACTACCCGAGCTCACTGACCTGTGCCCTTAAAATGAGGGAGTTTTAGTGGCTAAGGATCAGATCTCATAAATAGGATACAGTGGCACACTCTTAGCCTGAGAGGCTAAGAAAGGCGGGTGGAGAGTTCCAGTCCAGTTAGGCAAGTTAGTGACCTAGTAGACATTGTTTCAAAATTTAAAAAATGAAAAAAGGCCTGCAGATGGGACTCAGTGCTTTAGAGCACTCAGCTGCTCCCTACCAGTTCTGCAGGAAACTCTAGTTGTTCTTTTTTTTTTTTTCCAATACTGAGAATCAAACCCACTGAGCTATATCTCCACCCATTATTATTGTTGTTGCAGTACTAAGGATTGAACCTAGGGCCTTCACCTGAGCTACCTGCCCAGTCTTTTTATTTTTATTTTTTGTCTTTTTAAGACAAGGTCTCACTATGCAGTTCAGGCTGGCCTTGAGCTCACTTTGTAGCCCAGGCTGGTCTTGAACTTGCAATGATCCTCCTGCCTCAGCCTCCCGACTGCTGGGATTACAGGCGTGAGCCACCACGCCCGGCTCAGTCTTTTTATTTTTATTCCTTGTGGTACTGCGGATTTAACCCAGGGCTACTTAGCTACACTCCTCGCCTTTTGTCTTGTCTTATTTTTGAGATGAGTTCTCACTAAATTGCCAGATTGCCCAGGCTGGGCTCAAGTTTATGACCTTCCTGCCTCAGCCTCCCAGAGTGCTGAGATCATAGGCTGACACACCGCTCCTGGCTGAAACTCTAGTTTTAAAGCCTTTCTTGCAGGGCCTTCCTGGAGGCACACCCACATCCTGAGTTACTTGCAAATTTTCCTTTAAAAAGTATAAAGGTTTTCTTTTCTGCGTGCTCTAAAATCTGAGGCTCAGAGCTAATTAAGGGCCCTCCCTTGCACATCACTACCCAGAGGCAGGTGAAGCCCGGAGAGGAAAGCCGAGCTGCTTTGGCAGTGATGAATGGGATCAAACCCAAGGACCATTCGTGGTTAACAGAGTTGGGAAACTGAGACAACGTGCATGTGTTTTCCTTTGGACCCGTTAACTGTTTATTAAAGAACCCAAATGCCCTTGTTACAGAAAGACAGAAAGCGCACAGGCAGGGACAGGGATGGAGACACAGCAGCGACGTGCTGATCAGGGCACGGTGGGAAGTGAGGGGCGCTGCCCCTGGAGTCCTGTTTAACTGGATGGACTGAGGCAGCGCAGGGCTTGGCACCCAGCAGGTGCAGGGCGGTGGCAGGGCGGGGCCCGGCAGGCAGCCCTGAATCATCCCACACGCACCCTTGCCACGCATTTTAATAACTTGGAACTTTCCATTTAACAGCAGAGTGTGATGTGAAGGACTACGGGGACCTGTGCTTTGCGGACGTCCCTAACGACGCTCCTTTTGGAATCGTGAAGAATCCCAGGGCTGTGGGCAAAGCCACCGAGCAGCTGGCGAGTGTGGTGGCCGAGGTGCAGAAGAGCGGCAGAGTCGGCGTGGTTCTGGGTGGAGACCACAGGTGTCGTGTGGGGCCCCATCCCAGGTGGGGCACCAGGGGGCGGAGAGGGCGAGAGGACGTGTGGATGGAAAAGCACCGACTGCTACCTCAGCTTAACTTCTTTCTGTAAAGAATGCAGTGCACACAGGTTGTAAACTATGGAAACAAATGTTTGAAGTCACAGGGTGTCCTTAGTGTAGCAGGAAATACACCCAAAATGAACGGTGACAGCACAGCATTAGGTACAGGCTCACGTGTCTAAATCAGTAGGGGTGGAGGAAATCCATAGCTTATTCCACGTGGCTATGAATGATACCAACAGCACAAAAGTACGTGCTTTCCATTATAAAACTTTTGAAAGTGTGTGCACACATGCATGCGCATTATATCCTTTATCTTAATCTACAGCACAGATTTCCTTGTTACTGTCCCACATGCACAAAACCCTCATAACCATCACTTTTGATGGCTGCACAATATTTCATCAAGGAATGACATATATGCATATACATATATATTCATATTGTCAGCTATCGAGGCTTTTCTTAAATTCCCACCATTGGGGCTGGGGATTTAGCTCAGCGGCATAAGCACCTGTATTGCAAGCAGGCAGTCGTGAGTTCGACCCCTGGTACTGATAAAAAGGAAAAAGACAAAAAAAAAAAAATTCCCACCATTAAGGACAATGTGGCAGAGACCGTCTCTTTGCACCGAGCCTTCTCCTGCTCAATGTCAAGGACGATGTTACCACAAGAAGCACCCCCATCCTGACCCCTCCCCCAACCCTCACTTTCTTCTCCTCAAGCCAAGTGCTGTGAGCAACAAATTGGCAGTCTTGAGCCTGGAGCTCAGAATTTCCACTTTCTTTTTTAAGTGGAAACATTTGTAAGTGGAGATTTTAACAGTGGCAAGCAGCCAGAGGAGAAACCTAAAGGAAAACAGGACATCAAGCAATGCCTGGATGTCCCAGCACGATTACTCCACTTTGATAACCCGAGAGTTCACGATCCTTTTTTTTTTTTTGGCTTTTTGTGACAGGGCCCCACTATGTAGTCCCGGCTGGCCATGCATTCACTATGTAGCCCCACCTGGCTTTGAATTCCTAGCAAACCCTTCCGCTTCAGCCTCCAGAGTGCTGGGACTATAGGCGTGCGCCACCAGAGAGGCAGGTTCCGGATTCCTTGAATGATACTTCCATGTTCAGAAGTGAGAAGCTACAGGCATTGTTTTTACTTTTTTCTTTTCATAGTACGTTTGCACTACAATTGATTATGTTTGCTATGTGGAGTCGCACACGCCCATAACTGTTCCTCTTTCCTCATTCTCTTCCCCTTCCCTCTCCTCTCCTTCCATCTCATGTCTCCTAGTGAGTCCCAGTCTGTTAACTCCTGAGCAGCGTAGTACGTGCATCTTCCATTCTGGAACACACTTGGAGGCTGGGGTTTCTGGGACAGACGTTGTCAGTTCTGGATCCAGCAGGCATGGCAGGAGGGCGGCGGTCAGAACGCAGTGAGAGAATTATTTACCAAGAGACTGGGGGTAGTGAAAGAGAAGGTTAACCCTGAGAATTTAACAGTGTCTCACAACAGGGGATTTCTTGCTGGCTGGCATTTGGTTAGGCCATCACCTGTGACTCCATGAGACACTGTAGTAACTACTTTAGTAACACCTGGGCTTCATTCAGCCAGCTGGCAGAGCTCCTGTTCTCTGTTGTCAGAAGTGTCTGATGGTGACCTCTAAGGCCCAGCAGAAGCAGCTGCTCTGTCTCGGAGAAGCCAGCAGCCACACACAGCAGCTGCTGGTATGATGACCTACGTGACGGCTTTGCAAACCTCACGTGTGCACTTCTCTTCCCAGCCTGGCGATTGGCACCATCTCCGGCCATGCCAGAGTCCACCCTGACCTCGGTGTCATCTGGGTCGATGCTCACACGGATATCAACACTCCTGTGACCACCACCACCGGGAACTTGCATGGCCAACCTGTGTCCTTCCTCCTGAAGGAGCTGAAAGGAAAGGTAAGACTGGCTGGAGCCCAAGCTGAGGAGCTCGGAGGCGAGCCGGAAGTGTCTTTGTTGTTATGAGATAGAATCTTGCTAAGTAGTTTGGGTTTGCACTGAGCTCACTTTGCAGCGTGGGGGCCTGCCTTGAATTTATGACAGTCCTCCTGCCCCTGCCTCCCAAGTTTTTTTTGTTTTTTGTTTTTTTGGAAGCATCTTATGCTATTTTGAGTAATCGCAAGCCATTTTCTCTGTAGCACACAAGCAAAGGATGGGTTGATGAAAGTGGTGATTCTCCTGCGTCAGCCTTGCTGGTGCACCACCATCCTAGCTGTTTTGACTTTTTTTTTAAGTACAGGGGATTGAACTCACAACCCCTCACTTACCAAGTAAGCACTTGAACCACTGAGCTAAATCCCCAGCCACTGTTTTGACTTTTTAAACCATCCCTTCTAGCACAGCGGCAAGTATTCTTTTACAAACAAGCCTTGCCTAACTTTCCCCAGCTACTCTGGGCCGTTCTGGGGATGGAGGCCGTACTGACAGCCCAGCAGAGGAGCAGAGCCTCGAGGGGACGCAGGTGGGGCTCAGGGCTGAGCCACAGGTGGCCTTTGTAAGCCTAAAACCACCAAGCCTCCTGCAAGCAGAGGCAGCATCTACCTCTTTCTTAATTTTGTGATCTTTGTATGATTTCCTATAAATCTATATTCTAAAAGTAAGATGTGCAATCCAGCTGGTGTCCTCATCATCGCCTGCAGCACTGGCTGGAGAGAAACATGCCACCAACGTGCTCCCCTTCCCTTTCAGACCCCAGAGGTCCCGGGCTTCTCCTGGCTGACGCCCTGCCTGTCTGCCAAGGACATTGTGTACATCGGCTTGAGAGACGTGGACCCCGGCGAGCAGTGAGTTTCCCCGTGCTGGGATCTGCTTTCACTATTACGCCTCTGCGCACTTAGATATGCTTACTGGCCAAATCCCTATGAAAGTAATTTAAACAAGTCATATATGTGTCTGGATTTACGTACGTATAACTATACAGGCAACTTGCCTCTGAGATGAGATTGCTGTTAAAATAAACACAGCTACACACATACACATACATTTCCAGAACTGAAATATCACAAGCTTCACCGTGTCTCCTTCTAGAAGGTGACCGAGGTGGGCACAGAGTCACCCTCACTAACCGCAGATTATCTTAATCACTCTCCATTTACAGCTACATTGTGAAAACCCTGGGCATCAAGTATTTCTCAATGACCGAAGTGGACAGACTGGGGATCGGCAAGGTGATGGAGGAGGCGCTGGCCTATCTGCTGGGAAGGTAGGTGCCCTGGACCTTCACGACGCCACTACATTCTATAGAGCAGGCTGCTCACTGTACTTGTCCCCCAAACAGTACCCCATTGCCTTTAAAGTGAAACCCTTTTCTACTCCTGAAAAGGAAGAAAAGGCCGATCCACCTGAGTTTTGATGTCGACGGGCTGGATCCTTCCATCACACCTGCCACGGGCACCCCGGTCGTGGGAGGTCTGTCTCTCCGAGAAGGCATCTACATCGCAGAGGAGATTTACAAGACAGGTAGGCGACATGGGGGTAAGGGGCACCGGTGTGACCCGGGGCTGTTTGTATTCATGTCTCCCTGACATGGACACCAAGCCCCAGTGGACACATCCAGGATGCCGAGTGCATGACGCAGTAACTGAATGGTTTTTCGCCGGTTACCATCTCTGTGCTACAAGTTCACCTCTTAGGTCTGCACTCATGTTTAAAGGTCAGCTACTGTACAAATGACATTCTCACTGTGTGTTGATTGTAGGGCTCCTCTCGGGACTGGACATCATGGAGGTAAACCCTGTTCTGGGGAAGACGCCTGATGAAGTCACTCGAACCGTGAACACGGCAGTGGCAGTGACTCTGGCTTGCTTTGGAGTTGCTCGGGAGGGTAACCATGACCCAGAAGAGAACTACTTGTCACCACCTAAGTAAACGTGCAAAGAGGAGAGTCTCCCAGCTGATGGCATCGTTAACAAACCGATAATTTATTTAAGCCTGTGATTATCCTCCCAAAGATCTGTTCTTTCAGAAAAATGTTTTCCCAATCAGTCTAATGATGTGAGCAGGACGGACACAAACCAGCTCACGCCCCCGTCTGTTTGGAACTCTGAGTTTAACTAGTGTGTGATGGTGTGGCGGGCACCAGCCTGGGCACCTGTGTGACACCTACCCTGTGACCCCCTCCTGAGACACTTTGGACAAAAGTTAGCTAGAAGTCTACTTTACCGTGAAGAAAAGTGTATTTTTACACTGTAAGATCAGCACCTTGGGTCAGGGCTAGAAGCTCAGCAGCACAAGTGCCTGCCTGGCAAGCATGAGATCGTGAGTTTGATTCCTGATACCCTCCACAAAAAAAAAGTCAAAACAGATCAGCACGTTGTATTGTGCATGTCGTGGAGGGGCCTCAGGCTGCCCTAGGCTGGGGCTCCTGGGTTCCACAGCTATCTGTGGCCATCATCCTTCCCCCGTCTGGAGGCTTGGGTGGCACCTGGCTGTCCTGGTCTCTGATTGCCATGAGTGCTGCCCCCTGTGCCTGTGCCGTGTTGGCCAGCTGGCTGGATGGAAGTAAGGTCCTGCGCCATGGGCACCCCGGCTCTGCACTGCTGCCGTGCTGAGCTCTCCTTGTCCCGCAGTGGTGATTGATGCCCAATAAACCACGGGGCTCAGGATCGAAGACTCCCAGCATCTTTGTCTGGCAGATGCGTGACACATTCCCAGGGCTTCCCGGCCTCAACAGTGGCCTCCATGTCCATTACAAAGTCTACCAATTTCCTTTGCTATGAAGTTCAAGATTTGGCAATTCTAATTTGTGTGACATTCAAGTTTGTTTCCTGCTTTGGCAAAAACCCCTGCCCTCCCCCAAACTTACCATTCACTTAAAGCAGCATACATTAATTTCCCATTAAAAATGCACTGGCACAAATAGAAGATAACACAGATAGATACCTCCTCTCCACCCCCACCTCAGGGTGGGTTTCCTATTTGAACACAAGGCTGTCCAACCTGGAATGGTACCATGTCCATAGTTCAAAAGGGTTTTTTGAAACAGGGTCTTGTTATGTAGTTCGGGCTGGCCTTGAACTATGTAGCTCAAGCTGACCTCAAACTCATAGTGATCCACCTGCCTCAGCCCCCTGAGTGCTGGGATTACAGGTATGTGCCACCACTCCCAGCTAAAAGATGTGATTTTTGTAAATAAACTCTTTATAATAAGACTTGGTTGTCCACGTGTTTCTGAGTATATGCAAGACACACAAACACATATTCTCTCTCTCTCAAGACTACCATAAAGATCATTACCCTCTAAACATTGTAAGCTCTCAGTAAAGCTATTAAAACTCTAGTGCTGGTTTCTTCATCTGTCAAATGAGTAACCACAGATTCAGGACACCTTCAGCTTTATTAACATTATATAATCTTCCTTTTTCTAAACCTTGAACACCATCTTTTTGTTGGCTGTTTGCATACTGAGACAGGGTCTTGCTATGTAGTTTTGACTCCCTCAAACTCACACCCGTCCTGCCTCGACCTCCTGAGAGCCGGGATTATATGGTATTGTGGATGCTGTAAGCACAGACAACTATTTAGATGGGCTTGGGAAGTAGGAGTTACTCCTGAAAATCTACTCAGGAGCTCGCGAAGTCAAACTGACATTTGATTTTCAAAACCTAATTCAGACCGGAATTTCATTTAAAATTACCTGGGGCTTCAAAACATCCCACCCCTCACTCACCGCCATTGCAGTCTCCTCAGCCCCCTACAAACTCCCCGGGGCTCCGGAGGAAAACACGTTGGGGATAATACAGCCAAAGGGGAAAGCAGCCTCTCCGTCCTCCCTGTGTGCACAGGGCCCACGCGGACTCTGCAGTGCAGGAGGCCCCATGGAAGGGCTTTGTTGGCCTTTTTTTTTTTGGATCCGAGAACTTGGGATCTCACATTTGCCAGGCAAGCACCACGCCACTGAGCTATATCCCCATGGAAGGGTTTTTACTGCGCTGCTTTCACAGCTCTGCATTAAACAGCCTCGCCTGACCTCGTGATGTATGCCTGTAATCTTAGCCCTCAGGATGCTGAGGCAGGAGGAGGAGCGTCTTGAGTTTGAGCTCAGCCTGGGCTACAAGGGAGTTCAAGCGCAATCTGAACTAAAAAAAAAAAAAAAAAAAAAAAAGGTAAATAAAAATTAATCATTATATAAAATTTAAACTGGCCTTGTATTAAAATTGCAATATTACTGATTGCAATAACGTGAACTATGAGGAAAATAAATATCTGAGAGGGATGGATTTAGAAGAATTTTCAGTGTAATTTTTTTTTTTGAGACAGGGTCTCTCTATGCAGTTTGGGCAGGCCTTGAGCTCACTTTGTAGCCCAGGCTGGTCTCCAACTCACAAGGATCTTCCTGCCTCAGCCTCCCAAATGCTGGGATTACAGGCGTGAGCCACCACGCCCGGCTATTTGGTTAATTCTCTAAAAAACAAAACAGTAACTTTGAATTCCTAGGCCAACTGAGTCACAAGTACTAAAAAACACATGGCGTGGGCCACTGCCCTGCCAGGACAGCCTGCGGCCTGCAGACCGGTGTTAAACAAGCCACACTTCATTCAACCGACAGACTGCAACAGTCTCTCTCTCGACGTCTGCTCAACCCCCAAAACACAAATGTACATTGCATATAAAAATATAAACATTTTAAAATTTAAGATTATAAAAACTCAAAAGACTCATATCATCTGCCAGTGTCAACACACACAATTAATTACTTAATTGAATTTTTTTTTTTTTTTTGGTACTGCAGGTCGAATTTATGACCTCAAGTGTGCCGAGCAGGTACTTACACCACTGAGCAAAATCCCCCGGCCTTGTTTTTTTTTTTTTTTGGTAATAGTAATTAATTTTTAAAAACACTGGAGAATCAATCACAAAGGCATGATTTTTATTTAAACTGAAGCATTGGCAGATGTTATTTTCTTACTCAGCTTCCAACTCATTTCATAGTTTCAAGCAAGGCAATAAAACCTGCCAACTGACCTTAATAAAAGTATTATACTACTTTTTTGGAAATTTACAATAAAATTTTCAAGCTGTTTTTTAAAAAAATATGAAACTTTATTTGGTTCTGCAATGCAATGAAATCTACAGTCCTCCAAGTGTAAAAGTCTCTATTCTGAAGTTATGCCAGAGAATTCTGTACAAAGGCCTTGTGAAGACGACTTGGTATGTACTGTATCTTTAAAACAATGTCCCTGAAGACCCAGTATAGCACTCAAAATCCAATCAATGTCAAAACGGGGGGCTGGGTGCCAGGAGCAGTCATCGGGTCACCCCGCCGAATCTGAGGGCGCCAGGCTGCTGTCGTGAGTGCAGACCTCATAGTCTTGGAGATCACACAGCTGGGCAGGTGGGAAATCAGGTGTCCAGAGTCAGCAACTGAATGGGAATAAGCTACCTGAATGCGCAGCCACAGCAGGCCGAGTTCAGAGTGACAGACGCGCATGCGTCCTCGCGCTCAGCCCTCGACGGGTCGGGCGTCACTGTGCTCCGGGGAGGGGCGCAGGCACCGGGTTGGACTGGGGCACCGGGGAGCCGCTGCTCATGGCCTGCGGGGGCACTGCGGCCGGCTCCATCTTGCTGATGTGGGTGATGAATCGCAGGCGAAGCTTTAGAGCTGGTTTTAAATTACAGATAATCTTTTCTACCTAGGAAATGAAAACACAAAACTTACTTGCTCTAGAGAACTTCAACTCACCTTTTTTTCTGCAGGGCTTTTTGAGACAACATCTTGCTCTGCAATTCAGGCTGGTCTCCAACTTGCAACGATCCTCCTACCTCAGCCTCCAGAGTGCTGGGATCCCAGGCATGCACCACCATGCCCAGCTAACCATCTTTAAAGAAGACCAAAAGGCACCTAGCTAAAAAACAGAATATGCAGTGCCAGCCAGGCATGATGGTGCACATGCCCAATCCCAGCGTTTTGGAGGCTGAGGCAGGAACAATGCTGCAAGTTCAAGGCCAGTCTAAGCCACACAGTGAGTTCAAGCCCAACCTCAACTACACAGTGAGACCATCTCAAAAAATAAAATGAGATAAAATGAAACAAAGTAAGAAGGAGCCCAGTGGGGCAGATGAGAAGCCTCTGTACCCCTTCTGAGTCTGTTACCTGGGAGGTGACATGTGTTCTCCCTCACCCCCACACCACACACACTTCCAGAAACCTACCCTTCCCCACCCAGTCATCGATGCTGAAAGCTAGCAAAGCTTGCACTGGCAATTTTCCATATCCAACAATTTGATCATCCTTTTAAAATGCTGTATCACAGAAGCAAGAAGCATAATGACTGTGAAAGTCCTTGGTGCACTCAAGTCTGCAACGCCTGTCTGTCCCTTTCCTGTTTTGATTCTTTCTTGGATTCAAACTGAACATTAGATCTACTCTTCAAGTGGTTTCCCAGCATTCTCAGCTTTATTCAAATGCTCTTTGGCCTTAGGAGGAACAATCAGTCCATTAATAATTTTCTTTTCCGTATACGTTTGTGTAAAAGCTACTTGGGGTCAAGGATTATGTGTGTGTGTGTGTGTGCGTGTGTGTGCGCGCGTGCGCACATGCATGTGTGCATGTGCATTTTTTTAAATTAAAGTACTGCTTTCCTGGTTCTCAACATGTTGTTTTAACAAACTGCTTAAAGAAACACAGCTCCTCGTTCTCAGGACAGAACATGTCAACTTTCCTTGACATTTCTCCAGAGGTATGAAGGAGTCAATGTGCTCCCCACTCCAGCTCTGAAGACAGAACTCAGAAGACCAGGATTCAAAGGGTTCTACAGCAGTTTTTGGTCCTCTCTAGTAGCATAAGAAGTGTCCCAGGAGCCCGGGCCCAGCGGCGCTTCCTACTCCGGGAAGTGCAGCTGTGACCGGGAGTCTGCTGGCAGCTGGCTCTGTAGGAAGCGCTTCTCCTGCGTGGAGCAGGGACACACGGCCTCTGTTGCTCAGGTTCTCATGCGTGCTGTGTCGTCACACACCCAAGGCTCACCCAAGATGGAAGCCTCCGAACAGCGAGGACTGCACGAGGCACTCGCCATGAGTCTGTCTCCGGGTCCCTACAGTGTGCCTCAGGCACGGGGGGAGAGTGACCTCAGACCTCCCAACACACCATACTGTCCCTCTAGTGCAACCACGATTCAGTAATTAACCATCACTCTTAACTAATCAAAGACTCCCGCTCTGTTTTGTATAGCACTGTTTCATATAACCAAAAAGGAAAAGTGAGAGAAATTAAACATAAATTTATTTCACTACTATGTGGAGAATATATATATATACATACACACACACACACACACACATTCTCACCCCAACAAACTCTACCATCACATACTTAAATTTTATATGTTGAGCTCCATTAAAAAACATGACATAAATTTAACTTACTTGCTCTTTTACACTGTCACCGGTAAACATATACTTCATGTGATACAGGAAGTCACAGATGGGGTCCATGTAGTGTAAATGTGTGCTACACTGGTCCACGTTCAACAGCATGTCATAGAAGGCCACACCAATCTAGGCAACAGACAACAGAAAGTCATTCGATGGCCCAGGTCATCTAACATGGCGCAGCCGGTGGCACAATGCCAGCATGTGGGGACCACAGTTCTGGGTCAGGTAGCAGCCTGCATCTTTAATTTCTTCTTCTTTAACTCCACAATGGCCGTTCCTGCTGCAGCCCCAGTCTGACACACCCCATGCCAAAGGTGCTCCTAGTCACCCAGAACTACTACCTTACTAATGCCATGACTTCCAGTAAAATAAACTTAAATAGCTAATGCGAAACTTATCCTGTTTTACCTCTATCATACAGCGAGTTCTCTCCTGCTGAAATCTCTGCAAAAAGGGTCCTACAAGATGGTAGACATATAGTAACTGGAATTCAGTCTTCACTATAGGAATAAGGACTTCAGTGAGAAACCTAAATTGGGAAGTTAAAAACAGAAATCTCTTATAAAGTGAAATCAGTCGAATTCTTTGACTTTTGTTAATATTTATAAAAGTACTAAAAGTGTTTCCAAAACCTGTGATTTTTTTTAAAGTTCCTTTTCATTTTTGGAACGATATTTAAGTTATCTCACATCTCTGATTCTCCCTTTCATTTGATTTATTTCAATTGCTTCATTTAAAAATCTTTTTTTTTTGTCTTTTTGAGACAGGGTCTCGCTATGCAGTTCAGGCTGGCCTTGAGCTGGTCTCGAACTTGCAATGATCCTCCTGCCTCAGCCTCCCGAGTGCTGCGATTACAGGCGTGAGCCACCACACACTGCTAAAACTCATTCTTAATAGTGTACTTATTAAATAATAGAAGGTGAATAATCTAAAACAAAGAAAAAAAAAAAAAAAAAAAAGAAGCCAGGGATTTAGTTCAGCGGCACTAAGTGCCTGCCTAGCAAGTGCGAGGCTATGAGTTCAATCCCCAGTACCAAAAAAAAAAAAAAAGAGAACAATCTCACATAAGTGCTATTCTCAAGAAATCTGAAACTAATACCAATTTTGTGGTCAAGAAATATAAGCAGAAAATGGGTTGACAATCAGTTTTTCAGTTCAACAGATGACTTTTGGGGTACATTCTGGAAACATCATGCATTGACTAACCCTCCTGAATCTATAATGGAAAAACAAGATACCATACTATTATGTACACATACAAATACATTTTTAGATAGTCCTGAAATAAGATACTTTCTGATTAAACAAGAACTCTACTTAAACCACTCTGCAAATTGTCCTCCTGAAAACCATATATACTTCAGGGCGAGGTAGGACACGCCTGGAATCCCAGCATTAGAGAAGTTGAGGCAGGAGGACTGCACAAGTTCAAGGACGGCCTGAACAGGTTAGAGAGAGTCTATCTTTCCAAACAAACAAACAAACCAAAACAGAAGAGATACGTACTCCATCTGTAAATGAAATCTGAACACACAAGGGACCTGTGACACTCACTTGGGGATAAGCGAGAGCTGCCCGATGCTGGAGTGATGCCACACAGCATGCGCCAGTGCCAGCGTGTAGCTGCAGCTCATCTCTGAGTAGGATTGGTGGCAGGCGGTGAAGTCGAAGAGGCGGAATGGGTAACCCACCCACTCGGTCTCGGATGTCAGGCTGCTGCTGCTGATCACGCTCACAATCCTGTCGTGAAGTACGATCCAGTACGGCTCCTTTGTGGCAGAAGAAGGCGGTGAAAAGACCACTTCTCCAGGGAACACCCCAAAGCCTACCAGCACACACCCCTTCTCATCCATCCTGTCGGTTGCAAGGCTACTCATGGGTGTCTGACTCGCCTGTTATCTGCCATTTCACATGCACTAAACTGGTACCTATTGCCAGCGTTTACCACACAGACGCAGTGATATAGAGACACGATTCAGAAATAAATGTGTGTATTCTGAAGGTGAGTAAGGAAAGCACTATCCACAGAGCTATGGCATCAGACAAGCCAGAGCCCTCCATATGAGACAGCGCTACTCAGAGGGCCAGCAGCCAGCTGAGGATGCTGGTCACACACCTGATGAGTGGGGTGTGAGCCGAGGTCAGAGCTGGCCCTGGAGGAGGAGGGAGAGGGAAGAAGGGTTCGCCTGCCGACTCAGCACTGACCTATCAGAGACCAGCACCTGTCTCAACAAGCATTGTTCGTGTGAGGAAAGACTCTATAGGGTGTCATGAGCTAAATGGACAAAAGCAGATCATGCCACAGTGTCAAAACTAAGCTTGGAGCAGGAAGATGGACAGCAGGGGGTTCAGAAATCTTTGAGGAAGGTAGACACATTTAGATCTGATGCACAAAGGCAAACACAGTCACTGTAGATTTTTAAAGTAGGAGTAAAATGAAAAACTTAGAAAGTATAAAGCGGTTCATTAACTGCTGGGAGCCGTTGAAGCTGGAGCATGAGCATCCCAAGAGCACCTGGGGCAAGCTGCGTGAAGAAGATGCTGCAGTCCAGAGAACCCTGCCTCAAGACAGTCTGAACAGTGGGTTGCTAGGACAACAGGGTGCCATGTGACATTAACCTGCTAAATGGTATAAACAAACACCCTGCAATGAGGAACCAGTACCTCCCCTCCCCTCAGGAGGATAAAGGCTCCACCTATCCCAGCTTTGTCTTTTTATTTTCTCATCCTCTTAACCCCAAGAACCTCAGGAGCCACATGGCTTGTGGCAATTAACGCACACAATGTCCTCACACACTCCTCCTCTATGCATCTTTTTCCTTAAGTCAGCATCAGAGGGCTGGCTGCATGCCACTGCTGAGCAGGAGGTCCCACATTTACTCACTGGGAGAGCCGTGATGATCAGACCAATGGCGTTCATCCACGCTGTGATGTTCTCTCTGGGCACTAGTGGCTGACTGTAAATGATGGAAAAAAGAACACAGTGTGAAATTATGAAATCATTTTGCATGACAGACCCTAGTCTGAAAACATCTATAATTCAGAGGAATGACAGTTGATCTACTCCAAAAAATATGACTTTTTAAAGTAAAAGTTTAATATATACCAAGTCAATAAGGCTTTTTATGAGGGTAGGGTGTCTTTTCAATAACCACTGCTAGTCTGAAAAGATTATTTATACTTAGTTCCACTTCTCCTTCAGTCGTCATCCCCTGGTTTACACTGCTCTTTAAGAAGACTGGTTTTCTTTTTCATTTCTGGCAGCGCTGGGAACTGAACCCAGAGCCTCACAAGTGCTCTATCACAGAGCTGTGACAACACCTTGAGACAGGTTAGGATTATCTGTATGCCACACCAGTAGTAGGGGGTACAAGTGTGCACAAAACTAGGTCTTCTGAACCTGGCCCGGGCTGCTCTCACAGACGAGAGCGGAACCAGAAGGTGCTGTTTTTCAAAGAGTGCCCGCCTTGTCTAACAGTTCTAAATAAACTTGCACTCTCTCTCCAAAGTGTCTCTCAGCACAGGACAGGATGATCACCTCTTCAGGACGACGTTCAGGAGTGCATTGCCAACATCCTTGCCTGACACCGCCAAGGCCATGAGCTCCACACACGTCACGTGCAGAGCGTGGGCAGCTGGGTTGGGAAACTCATTGAACCTCCAGTCACAGTTCGGGAAGGGACCAGGAGACTTGCCAGCCATGGGTGCAGACAATTAAGGTAGGAACCGTGGATTATTCTGAGATGAATGACACATTTGTGGGGGCAGAGACACAGCTCAGGGGCAAAGCACCTGCCTGGCAAGTACCAGGTCCTGAGTTTAATTTCCAGTACCAAAAACACCCCAAAAACAAACAAACAAAAAACCTGACATAGTTGCATAAAACTTCAGAGTTTTCAAAACATTATGGGGCCAGGGATTTAGTTCAGCTATAAAGCACCTGCCTGGCAAGCCCACGGTCATGAGTTCAACCCCCGGTACCAAAAAAAAAAACGTCTCTTGTGAACATCTTATCTCATCATCCGTTGAGCTGATTATGAGCTGCTAGCAGCGATCAGCTCTGGAAAAGCCTGAGGCAAGCAATGCAAAGCAGGTGCAGGTAGGCTGGACACGGCTGATGGGCAGTAACAGCCCTGGGCCTTCTCAGCCTATTTTTTTTAACAGCGTCAGGGCAATGTGATACGAAAATTATCTCACTGTAAGCAATAATTTTATCTCAGGAAATAAATTCTTTTGCCTAGTAAAATAAATCACATTCATTTATGTGAAATTTCTGTTAAATAGTGGTTTGGTGTAAAGACATTACAGAGTATGCTGATAAATGAAAACATGAAATCAAAATGAAGAAACACAAATATTAATAGAATAGCCTTTTCACTAAAAATTAAGTTTGGTTATTGTCTATTCATATTAATATTTTAAAAGTATTCAAGGGGGCCGGGGATGTAGCTCTGTGGCACAAGTACCTGCTTGCAAGCGCAAGGTCCTGAGTTCCACTCCCGGTATCCCCACCCCATCAAAAAGGTATTCCAGGAGCTATTTAAGTCAACAAGACTCTCATGTTCTCTAGTACCAAACAGATGCATCTGCCATAATACACACTATGTATATATTTAGAAACAGGATCCTTTTCTTTGAAACAAAGCGCCATAAGATGTTTTTAAATATAAAAATTAATGGAAAGAATTTCAACTTATCTGGCATGATACCATAAATTTAAGATTTCAAAACTTTTACAGATATAAAAGTAAAAAGATCATTAAAAGCTCAAAGTGCGAATACCAGTGACTCAAACCACTGTCATTACTGGGCAGTCTGCAAAGTCAGGATAAAAAGGATATTATCTACTAGTCTGCCAATCAGCTTGCAGTAGTAGGAGTCATCTGGGACCCATGGATTGTCCTCTCGTGGATTCATGACATTCTTCAGGTAAGTGTCACTCAGACACCAGCCCTGTGGTCGGTTATCCTTGAGCGAGCCAATGATCGCATGGACGAGCTTCCTTTTGAGGTGGTCGCGGTTTCTCAGGTAGCGCTCATAGTAGTGCAGTGTGTTATACAGGTAAGTCACGGGGCGGTCTGTCACAGGAAAAACAACACAGAACGCTCACAGGGTTACTGACAACTGTGAGAATGCACCACCTGCTTTTAAGATTATTGAAAAGTGGCTCAGAATGTCATGAAACTACTTCATGAGCTGGACAGCTGCATACCACGAGTCTTCTACTTTTAAGACAGGGAGGAAGATCCAAATGACGCACACAGTTTCGTATTTAAGGATGATGCTCTTGCTTTGAGTGAACAACCGTGCTGCAAAAGTCCTGCCCGCAATATGGAATGTTGCTGTAGTCTTCTTCACTAGCAGAAGATTAGAGAAGACTGAAACAGTCATGAACAGAGGACAGGGAAAGGAACTTACGCTTGACTGAAGCAGGCCTTACTGTGTGGGATCAAATGGTTGGCTCCCACACACAGCACAGGCAGAGAACACATGTGTTTACCAGGTTGTATGGGGCTAAAAACAAGTATGGGGATCTAGGTGAGGACACACAAACATTAGAAGTGGCTGCATCGAGAATGAAGCAGATCAGTCCGCTCGCAGGCAGGCCCTCCTCTCCTCAGGCCACTCAGCACGTATTACCTAATGCAAACGTTTTTAAAGAACCTGAACGCTGTACCTCAAGTGATAGCACACAATTTAACCCACCCACGAGACAACACCCTGCCCCCTCTGGGGCTACTCGGTGACCTTCCACTTATTGCTGACCACGCGTTCTCCAGGCCCATGCTTGGGACTGCAGGTCACCGCTGGCTTTTGCTTTCTCTGTTCACTCACTGAATCCTAGCCTTTTTCTTGGCCGTCTGTCCCTTCTGTCTCGTCTCCAGGGCCAGTGTCCTTGCTTCGATACTAACCACATCCCTGAGCTCGGATGGGCCTTTGAAACGCTGTCTTCTTTCCATGTCAACTCCACCTGCTCTGAACTTTCTACATTACTGCTCCGTGCCCCAGTCCTACACAGTACTCCCGGGTGCCCGTTATCTGAGCACTGTAATGGCGGATCTGGCATTGAGGGTGACTTGACAGTCACCTGCAGTCTCTTTCCAGCTTCACTTCCACAAATTCCTGGCGCAGGGGAACTCGGCTCAGTCCAATCCAGCAGTTCTCCTTCAAATATGCCTGGGTTTTTCTACCTCAAAGTTTTTCCCAAAACATGGAAACAAAGCTTTTGCAAATGGGGAGGAGAAGACAGGTTGAAGGAAGAGTAGGGGAACGAGGGGGGAAAAGTTCTATCATGTATTCTCTATGATGAATGTGATTATTATATCTAAAACGTACCAATAAAATCTGATTTAAAAAATACAGTTTTTCCCCAAGTGATCCTTTCTACTCTTTCTGCTTAGTCATATGCATTGAAGTTCAAATCCTACTCATCTAAGAGGGCCAAATGTTCAGTTTACAGTAATATTTTGTTCTAAATTGAAATTTGCTCTGAATTGAAATTGAAGTAAAATCTTAAAACCACTATCACCACATGGTCCTGCCCAGCCTTTTGGCCCTAGAGCTTAGATGGGATTAAAACTTGAAAGAAAAGGGGCTGGGGATTTAGCTCAGCGGCATAAGCAACTGCCTTGTAAGCAGGCGGTCGTGAGTTCAATCCCTGGTACCAGAAAAAAAAAAAAAAAAAAAAAAAAAAAGACAAAAACTTGAAAGAAAAATAAAACAACTCATTGCTGCCAGGAATGTAGCTCAGTGCGTAAGTACCTGTCTGGCAAGTGCAAGGTTCGATTCAGTTTGCTCCCGCCCCCAAAAATTAAAAAAACCCAAAAAAACCTCACCATGAAATTTATACAAGCCTCCTAGGTGATCCAGCAGGGTCTCCAGTGACTTAGACACGGGGAGTAACTCTAGAAACCTGTGGATCACTATATCGAAGACAGGCAGGAACCGGAGACACACGTTCCCGAAGTAGATGGGCAGGTAGGGGGACTGGATCTGCACGGGAGGGTCGACCTGCTCGGCCAGCCCCTCAAAGTACAGCTTCTCGGGGTATTTCTGTGGAAATGAGGAGGGAATAAACGTTTAGGGCATCCTGTTGTTTCCTCTTAGAACAGCTAAATAAACTGAAAACACTGTTTGCATCTTTTTCATACAGAAACTTTTCTCCTTTTTCAGTATGAGAGACTGGTGCCAGGGCCTGGTCAGCAAAGCACAGTTCACCCCCGAGCGCCACGTGAGTCCCTGTGTACGAACACTTGCAGTTTCACTTTATCACACCCTTCTCCATCTTCCACTATCTACTAAAATCTAGTAAAATTGCAGTTTTAACATGTTCCACCTTCATTGGAGCGACCCAGGGCTATTCCGCTTCCACAAAGCCGGAAGGTGCACAGCAGAATCAGAGGAAGCGGTCGAGTAATCAGCTGAAGGACGGAGTGTGGTTTACAGGCAGGACGTGTGGCAGGACCTGGAACTGTACCTTGTGGTAGTTCATGTGCTTGGTATGCCAGTCGTTCTGTAGCCAGTGCTCCGGGGAGTTTTCCTTCACAAAGTCACTTACTCGATTTCTGAAGTCATTTGGTTTGAGTAACAGCAACTGGATTATGAAGTAACAAACCTGGGCTTCATTTCCTTCATGACTACGCATGGCCTTTAGAGAACAGAACAACAAAAGGAAAACTCCAGTCCGTGCAAAAGCAGGTGTCCACTGTAGTCTAAACCTTAACAGGGTAACACCTCCCTATCATCAGAGTTTCCCTGGCTGTCAGGGATACCCCAAGCCACCAATCAGGATGCTCCAAGCTCATCCCTCCCCTGCCTTATTTTTGGTACTGGGAATCGAACTCGGGACCTTGTGCTTGTCAAGCAGTTGCTTATGCTGCTGAGCTGTATCTCTAGCCCTCATCTGACCCCTTCTTAGCTATTCTGTCTCAGCATTCCTCTCACCAAATGCCCAGTTTTATTTTTTAAAATCTATCTTTCGCAATCCGTCATCTAAGTAGAGAGGAGGTCTCATCGCCTCCCACCTCTGTCTTAGCCTTTAATTCTGTCAGCTTATAGACTTACCTCATTTTCCATAAGATTATAACTACTCTCCTATCTATGTTCCAGACCTAGAAGAAAAAGCTAGTGATACTCCAAGTATCACAGTATCTTTTTAAATGTACCATTTTCCTAGTTTGCTTGGAGTCTCTTCTTAGAAATTTGTGTGAAATAGACTTTAATGTCAGGAGAAAAAAACACATGGTGGACGCAGAGTGGCTAAGCGAAGCGCTCCGGCCTGACGGGGCTGCCGAAGTGAACAGAAACCCTCATATTCGTGCTCAGCAAAGACACAGGGTGAGGCTGAGCTCTTTCTGCCCTAGCTGGAGCCTCTGGATCAACTCACAGTGAACTGCTCACCTGTTACAGCCTCACAAGGCCAAGACTAAGTCTATTTATTTGCCTCTGCACTGTGTGTGCACAGAACAGTAGATAATAAATAAGGAATGAATGCTTGATTTTCGTATAAATCCATTAAATCCCTTGAAGCACTATAGAGCAGACCAGCATAAGGTCAATCGGTCACATGCTTAGATCTAAGAGAGTAATAAAGCTAGAAACACATGGATTCTTACCAGGCAGAGAATTAATCTGTCCAGAGTAACGATGTTGTACTTCCACACCATGTCATTAAGAATTTCTATGCATTTATTGAGCTGCTGACCTCCTGCTGATGTAGAGAACTCATATACCAGGAAATCAGCAAACGTTCTCACATGGGCAACCAAGGCCCTGGCTCCAATTCTCTCTAATACCCTGGAAAGCAGATAGCAAAGAGTTCTGTCGCTACAGGGACCCGCAGTCTGCCGAGTGCAGCACACAGCTAGAGGCTGGCTCACCTGTAGCCGATCTGGTTAATGTGGTCTGTTTCTAAGAGCATCTTCCAGAGGAGACAGAGGAAGAGCGGCGGGGAGCCCTGGATGGAAAAGTGGGTGATGATGTCACTCTCGTTGGTCATGGACTTCCACTTCCTGTACTCCTCCTCCACGTTTTTCTTCAGATTGAAACGGCTTTCCTGAGGGACATTATTTTGCTTGAAGAATGCCTATCAGGAAGACAAAAGCCTTTTTATCACAATGAAACAACACCTGACATGGAGCTAAGAAGCCACTTCTAGATTCAGTTCTGACATCAACACATGCATGAAGTGACCTGGAGTGTACAGGCAAATAAGGCTTAGTTAGACCCGTGTCCTGACTAGGAAATACGCAGACCTGGCCGGCTAGGAACTCTAAACATCCTTTTCCTCAATTTCCCAAACAAAAACTCCATGTGAGCAAGAATTCAAAGTTCCTGTAGTCATTTATCGCTGCTCTGGGGTGTGTGTGTAATATATTTATCCTTTGTATGTATTTTAGCATCCCTATATAGAAAATTCATTGCATTGGGCCAGTGGTTCTTACCGTGTGAGTTCCAGACTAGCAGCACCACTGTCAACAGAAGTTTGGCCAAAAAACAAAACAAGACAAAACCAAAAATACAAATGCAGAAGCCCCATCCCAACTTGATGGCCCAGAAGGCCCAGCTCTGCAAGCCTGATGAGCTCCAGGACCAGCATTCCCAACAAAGGGCATGGAAAACGGATGCTCATCCGGTCTACATTTTTTCTGAAAGTGGACGCTAGACACATAGTTGTGCTGTGCGAGTAAATAAAATTTAGTGAAGTACAACGCATATGTACATGGAAAGCACCACAAAGCCTATTTCCCTCCATTTCAGTTCTGCAAGCACTTCTCATATAATGCATTTGTTCTTGTGAGACTCTAATAAAAGTGTGAATTAATATGAAACATAATACAAGTTTAGAAATATGTCCAGTTTTAGAGTCACATGAGAAACAACTGAAGAGATTTTGGAAGTAACAGCAATTTTTGTTATTGTTTGTTTGGTTTTTGGGGCTGGGGATTTAGCTCAGTGGCATAAGCGCCTGCCTGGCCAATGCGAGGTTGTGAGTTCGATCCCTGGTACCACCAAAAAAAAAAAAAAAAAAAAAAAAAAAAAAAAAGAGCATCTGTTTGTTTTTTGTTTTGTTTTTCTGAGACAGGGTTTCTCTATGTAAGACTGGCCTTGAACTCACTATGTAACTCACACTGGCCTGAAATTTGAGGTAATTCTCCTGCCTCAGCCTTCTAAGTTTTGAGATTACAGGCCTGTGCTGCTATGCCCAACTGGTTTTTAAAAAATATATGAAAGCTAATATTCTTTGGTTGTCACCAAGACTAGAGAAACCCCCTGAAAGAAACTAAATAGTAAGACAGATTCCATACATATCCAATATGGGAAAGAATTACCTGCAATGGGCCTGGAAAACAGCTAAGAGTATGGGAAGCCCAATTATGAGGAGTAAAACTCATGATGGTTTGAAGTATATCTTTACACCATGTTCCCTGAATTGAATCAGAGCCTGTAAAAAAATCTAAACATAAACAGACAGATGTAATCCAGATATAAACGATCATAGCCACAACTCACCAAAAAAAATATATAAACGAACAATACACACTCCATGTTTCACTGCAGTATATTCATTGCCACTTAGCTATATTCAACCCACTTAGGACTCACATTTTTCTAGTTTATGAGTGATCTGGCTCTACCATATTAGGAAACAAAAACAACTGAAGAGACAACGAAAGACATCGGGAACTGGAATCTCTCTCTCTCTCTCTCTCTCTCTCTCTCTCTCTCTCTGCGGTGATTCACTAGTTCTTCATTGAATGGAGGCAACAGAACTGCAAAAGCTGATGCCTCTTCTGATGACACAAATACAAGTCTCTAAATCAAAGAAGTTTACTTATGCAAAATAATACACATGAAACAGTCTGAGGCTGCTAAATTCAACAACTGTTTTTGTAAGCAACAGTTCTTAAAGAGTGGTCTGCTGATTTCTGGGGGTCCTCAATGACCTTTCAGGGATTCAATAAAGTCAAAACTGCCCAAATAATATGAAGATAGCACTGGTTCTTTTTTTTTTTTTTTTTTTTTTTTTAAACCGGGGATCAAACTCATGACCTAGCATTTGCCAGGCAGGCACTTATACCACTGACTTAAATTCCTAGCCCAATCACTAGTTCTTTTACTTGATATACACACTAATGGGTCCAAGCTACAGCAGCGACACTGCTGTCTTTATACAAATCAATTAGCATCAGATTATATTAACAGCTGTGATATGCTCCACCTTGATTCCCAGTGAGAATCAAATGCCCATTTTACCTAAAATCATCACCAACAACATACCATACAATGTAAAAAAACTGCAGGAAGGCTTTGAATGTTTTTATCACAAAGAAATGACAAATGTTTGAGGAAATAAATATAATTAGCCTGATTTGAAAGCTACATAATGTACACGTGTTGAAACATCACGTGTTTCAATGTACACGTGTTGAAACATCTAATACATATGTATAATTCCCTTTGTCAATTAAAAAATAAAGACAGTATCACTGATGAACCTGTAAAAACTATCAACCTATCTTTAGTATTCTGTGTGGCAAAAAAATAAATAAATAAAATTTTAAAAAATTCTATGTAGCACAATGGGAAGCACAGATGTGTCCCAGGGTACAGGATCAGAGGAAAAGCACGCGTGGAACACAAGTGTGTGAGTGCTGGGTTGAATCAACTGCTTTTTTGTCTGTGATTTAATTTTACTTGAAAGAATACCTGATAGAAAACTAATTTTTCAGAAGTATGTGTTCAGCAAACGTTTTCTTACAAATTAACAAAATGACACTGGCATCTGAAGGAAAGAAATGGCAGTATCTGTTGTTACCAGTGATAGAATTTGATGTTTCAAGTACAAATTAAAAATTAAAAAAAACTTATATCCATTATAAATGTGAGTTTTCCAAAACTTATAGATTTTCTTATTAAATTTGCAGTGATATTAACAATTGTAATTTTCTGATATCATTTAATGAAAGGTGGCCAACATCTGCAAGAACTACAAAACTTAATGAATCAGTTTTTTCCAAACGACCAATTCACCAAGCTAAAAAATACATGTGGATTAAAAAAAATTCCTTCAACATACAGAATCAAACAACAGATTATAACGTAAAGAAGTATAATCCGAGCACTGGTGAATTCTGGATTTCACATTGTGGTCTCCCCTTCCTAAGTCCAGGGGTGCTCAGAATGATCCTCCTCTCCCTCTTCATACCTATGCGAGGCCATGTTTCATCTGCTTTAACTAAAATACTACTGCCATACTGCACAGATTCAATGTAGAAGCAAATAAGAGAAGACATTCCCCTAATACTATAAGCCCAATGTGAAGTACAGAACAATGGCACTTCTCACTGAAACTTGTTTGACAACACTTTTTCATAAAAAAATTATTTATGAAAAAAAAAAGCGGGGGGGGGGGGGCGGCTGGGGATTTAGCTCAGTGGCTTAAGCGCCTGCCTGGCAAGTGCGAGGTCATGAGTTCGATCCCTGGCACCAAAAAAAAAAAAAAAAAAAAAAATTATTTATGTTAACACATAATGATTTGATTTTTTAAAATGAAATTTCAAGCATCTCCATTTTAACATCTAATGGTATAAACAACTACAGGTCTGTCAATAGATGCAACATTTTTAACACTGACAATACACAAGGGAAAACAACAAGCATCTGCTACACGAATGGGCGGTCTTCAGAGTGTTCTCACAGTAATGACTAGGACGAGAACTAGTTTCCTCTGTCACCGTGGCAGGCTACAAAGAACCCCTACCTGTCACATGAGTGGCCCGGGCCAGGGTCAGTATCAAGGCTCGGTTCAGTTCTTCGGACTCTGCAGACAGCACGGTCTTGGGGTCACTGAGGAAGCGGGTGAACTGCGGCTGAACCTCGGAGCTCCCGAGCGCCGTTATCAGCCTGAGCGCGGTGCTCTCCACACTGCATTGGACAAACAAAAGGAAAGAGAGGCTTGCACATGAAAGTGTAGAACTAGGGACTTAGATCAAATTCTAGGTGATTAAAATGTAAAATATTAAAACTATAAATGTCCCTTCTTAGACTAAAAAAAAATTTTGTACGAGAATGAGCCATACTTAATTTGTTTAAAAAACAAACAAACAAACAAACAAAAAACCTAAGGTGCCAAATTATTTTTTTGTCTTTTTGAGACAGGGTGTCACTATGTCATTCAGGCTGGCCTTGTGCTTACTTTGTATCCCAGGCTGGCCTCAAACTCACAACAGTCCTCTTGCCTCAACCTCCCAAATGCTGGGATTACAGGTGTGCACCACTACACCCAGCTAAAATTATTCCAGGACAGTTTTTTGGGTACTGGGGATCGATCCCACAACCTCGCATTTGCCAGGCAGGCACTTGTGCCACTGAGCTACATCCCAGCCATATGTGCCAAATTTTCTACTGAAAAGCCATCTGATACTCTTACACAAATGAAAAACAACAGCTTGCAGCCAGTAAAATTAAACATTACAAATCTGAAATATATTTTCACTTAAAGCAAACAAGAAAGATGTGCTAACCATGATCTACATTCAATGTGCTACTGGGCGTGGTGGTGCACATTCTGTAATCCTGGCACTCGGGAGGCTGAGGCAGTAGAATCGCTGAGATCAAGTCCAGCCTGGGCTACAAAGTGAGATCAAGGCTACCCTGAACTGCACAGTGAAATCCAGTCTCAAAAAGACAAAATTAATTAACTCACTGTACTAAATTAGAAGTACTAATTCTTACTCCAAAGATCCTAACCAAGGTGCTCAACTATCTATTAACACAACAAACTCCACTCCTACCATATAATAGAAATACAGAATTTTAAAAGCAAACTCATTTTACAGTGAGTTGACTACATTTTACAGTGAGTTGCGCGAAGGACAAAGTCCCTGGTCCCACCATAGCCTGGCCTCACCCCGGCACCGGCACGCGCTGGAGCTCACCAGAGGTGCAGCTGGTTCTGGTTGGTCTGTGCCACGGCAGCCAGCGTGTGCAGGTGGCTCAGCAGCTGCACCCTGTAGTGCGGCTGGATGTGATGCATCCGGTAGCTGAACATCTCCAGCAGTGTGTGCAGGATGCCCCAGGCATGGGACTTGAAAACAGTCGGCAAGAGCTGACCTGGAAGAACGATTTAAGACATCAGCTAGGAAAAAGCTATGCAGTAAAAGACCGCTGAAGAATATAATGTTGAATAAAATGTATATGAAGATTTGAAAACACACACACATTCTCTGCATTTTCTCCCTATTTTTTACTTTAACTGTAGTCCAGGTCCCAATTATAACATCCAATCTTTCCTCACTTTCTTTGTCCCTGGGACGAAATACCCAACAGCTACAACAGACAGGAAGAGAGGTTTACTCTGGCTCAGGTTTTGTTCACGGCTGGCTGCAAGGCAAAGGGGCATGGCAGAGGCAGAGGGAGCTGCTCACATCAGGAGAATGGGAGAGGAACTGGGAGGGAGGTGAACCCTCCACAGGACACCCCCGGGCTCCTCCTCTGCAGATCACGTATGAGGCTCCAGGCCAGTGATGGCCAAGCTTTTAAGGCTTCCATGGTAACAAACAGCCCACAGGAGCATGAGTGCCACAGGCTCACCACCGCCACTTAAGGAACCTACAGTCAGAAACCTAACACCAAGTTTGTTTTCTCCTTGTGCAATTTGACAATGAGTCTCAAGTTAGTCCACAACACTAAAATGACAAATGAGACAATATACTGCTATACCTCCCTCACTTTTCCATGATCCATATTCCAGACTAACAAGCACCAGGTTTGGTTTTTGCAGAGGGAGATGCCAGAGAGGCTGAGCTGGGGCATCAGGCGTGCTAGCCAGCCCTCTACTTCCAAGCCACATCTCCAGCCCCTAGGTTCACATTTTAACATGAAATGTCTGATCCCATCTTCCCTGGCTGTCTCCTCCCTCCCAAGAAAGTTGTGTTCAACTCTCAAATCTAGAAAGGAGATTTACTGTAGTTAAAATTACACACTATTGCTGAAAAACTCTATCAGAAAAATACATCTGTAGTAGAAAAAAATCTATTAATGAGAACTGCTAAAAACTCAGACAGCTTCTGCAGCAGCAGCAGCAAACTCCCACCCTGCCAGGCTTAGCACAGAGAGCACAGCACTGCTGCCAAGGTCCACGGCTGCGTGCCTGGGTCAGGGCCAGGTCTGTCCCAACCACTGCACCCCAGCATCCACCCTTCACCCTTCTCTCGCCCTTAAGGGTGTAGCTGTCCCCCCTCCCTAAGCTCGGCCCTGCTTCCCTCTTCTTTGTAGCGCACAGCACCTGCAGGGCACATATTTCATGTCTGCTTTACTGCCTGCCCCAAGTCTGTATGGACGCCCCATGATGGCAAGGACTTTTGTTCACTGATGGTTTCTAGCACCCGGAAGCACACTCAGCTTAATAAACAGCAGATTGTTATAAACACCAGAAAGGAGCCTTACTGATAAATCCTTTGATGCCCAAAGACTCGATTTCCATATAGACCAATAAACGACTATAAGTTTCCACCAGGGCTGGAGCTAATGCCACGCTGGACTTTGCATGAGCAAGTTTTATCACCCTGGTTGCAATGCTGTGAATAAGGCTGAAGAAACAAAAGGGAAGACAATAAATATAGAATTTGCACTTTTTATAAAAATACAGTGGTTACCTGCTTGGTAACACTGTAACACCAGGTAACAGTGGTTACCTATGGGTAACAGTATAAAACGGTACTGAGCTGATTCAAATTGACTCGACTCCCTGAATGTATTCAATCTGCTGGGGACAACTGGTAACGAGAGTGCAGGACGTGAACTGAACTCTGCTTTCTACAGCACTCTTGGGTGGGGGGTGAAGGGAATCACCGTGTCACAGAAAAACAAATTTTGGGTACAATTTCTAAGATCATACTTTTTCAAATATATAACTGTATTTGAGAAATTAAGTCACTTTTGTCAGAGAATTATTTAATAACTCTCTGCTAAAGCTAAGTGTTAGGGTGCTTAGCTCACATCTGTCACACATACACATACACATACACAGGGCAAACACAGTTCCACAGCAGTGTTTACCATTAATGACCGCATAACTTTTCTAGACCTGATGCCCCATTGGGAGGCCTAGAGATGTGTTTCTTGTGGCAGAAATGCTTTTGCTGTAAGTCTGAGCTGCTACCTAGAAGCTGCAAGACTACAGCTACAAATCTGAAGTTAGGGTTAGAGATGGTTCTTTTGGAAAACTTTTTAAGACCTAGATCAATTATCTGCACTAGCCTAAGAGCAGAAACGCGCTCATGGGCAGCACTGATTCCAGACAGAGGCGCCCCATCCCTGGCTGGCCTCGGCCCCCAGTGTGACTGCTCCCAGACCCTGCTAATCCACACTCTCAGTTGGCTCCTCTGGACCCTGGACGTTCTAGGATCACGCCCAACAGAGGCCTTTTTGTTTTTCAGAAAATAGGTTGACAATTCAAGAAATGTCCTTATGTGTATTCAATACAGCAAAAGTCTTCAAACTGTCACATTCCTGGAGTCAGTAATTCTGCTTCCAGAAAATGATTTAAGAAATATGCAATTAAGTAAAAAAAATTAAAAAGAAAATATAATTATGGTGGTGCAAAAACTCCCATAAGGACTGCCTTCATTGTCACCTTTATAATGCAAAGACACTGAAAAATCTCCATGTTCAACATTGTGGAACTGTTTAAATCATTATGTATCGATGCACTAAAAGCTTTGCAGCAATTTAAAAATTATCTCTGAAAAACTGAAAAAGTGATTATATTTATAGGAAGAACACAATCATGGAATAGTTCATTTTCATCAAAAGCAAAATAAACTCATGTATTTAGTCATATTAAAAGGGAAATTAAAAACAATTTTATAAGGTATACTTTTGATAGAAATTTATGGCAATTATTTTCTTTATTTGCATATGGTAGAATTCCTAAAATTAACATTTCATCTGTACAACAAAATAAATTAATTATGTATTTGACCATAAAACTTACACAATCATGAAACCCAATTTTTACTACCCTGACAGTAGTAGCCAGACATGGAGCCACATAAAAAGAACATACCTCATTTTGGCATGAACCGTTAGAGAATCCAGAAGATTCATTGGTAAGGGAGTTATAGACCCTGAAGCCAAACAGCTCGTTCCAGGGAGGGGTATCCTCATAATTCCGTTTCCATAAATAGTTTCCACCAGAGCACCCATGGGTAGCGTGAAACACTCTGAATTTGTAGAGTATGCATTACACAGCAGGGCAATTTTATAGTCATTCATCTGCAAGCTTTTATTTCGCAGACTTTGCTGGAGGAACCTAAAAATTCACATTATTTAGAAAGAAAGAATACAATTTCCACAAAGGCAACTTGTATTTTTAAAAAGCTCAACTTGATGCAATTACTAATATGACCATATTTTTATTTTACAGATTTTGTGTGAAGTACCAAGGGGAATCACATGTAAAAGCTGTATAATAGTTCAGAAGAAACCCAAGTAATTGTAAGTTAAAAATTAATGGATATTTTGCTAAGCACATGCTATATAAGCACTATATTTGGCTATGTTTCTCACAAATCCATGAACTAGGCTTCTGCTGTTTGCCTCTCTGCTAAAATACAACATATGCCTCCATTAAAGATGCCCATCTCTCATGGAATGAAGCCTGAAGGTGTCATCTGAGCATCTACCAGAAGCTTTGAGCTGAGCTCGTCCCAGCCCTTGGTCCTGGCGCTCTGTGGGAAGGGCGCCCCCCCCCACCAGTGCATCCCGCCCTTACCCAGAGGCCGACTGAGCACAGGCAGAGCTCCGAGGATCAGCTCGGATCAGCTCGGATCAGCTCGGCAGATTCTGGTGCCGAGAGTCAAACATGTTTGGTCATCAAGCTCAAATCCTAAGTACCTGAGAAGTTTCATAAATTTTCACATAAGTCACTCAACTAAACTAAGCACCAGGTAAAAACAGATCAGCCTTTAAACACAAAACCCCGCTCTACACAAGCACACATAAGCAGATCAGTCAATCTGTTCCTCCTTTCCTGGCTCGGCTTCCAGCCAACTCTCCAGCTCCGACACACACATGAAACACGCGGCCTCACCTCAGGAGGGTGTGGGGGCTTTCCAAGCCTCTCATAAACAGAGACCAGCATCGGTCTGCCGTCAGACTCTATTTATTAAACAAGAGCATAGCCATTAGGCCAAAATGACTTACTCATGGTGCAGTTTTAGTGAATGAGGGATGGGAATCTGTAGCTTGGAGTTGTCATTCTGGGCTTTTCTGTTGAGATGAATCCAAATACAAGTCATTGCAAAGGCATGAGTTGACTGGGGTTTGTTAATATCAGGAACTGGGATATACTAAAAAATAACAAGTAGCATGTTTTAAGACAGAATTAACTTTTTTTTTTTTTTTTTTTTTTACCTTTTTGAGACAGGGTCTTACTACATAGCCCAGGTTGGCCTCAAATCTGCAACGATCCTGCTTCGGCCTCTCAAGTGCTAGGATTACAGGCATGTGCCACCAGGCCCAGGCAAGAATTAAATTTTTAATCATATATATTTTAGTAATCCTTTTCAGGTATATCTTTTTAACATATCTTATTTTAAGTTAGCCCCAATGGTTCTTTGTATAATAATACAAAAGATCTAACAGTCATAAAATCTTAAAACTATTACAAGACTCTTACTTGGCCTGCTTTGACTTGGCAACAAAGTAACAGAGAGAGGCCTAGACAGAAGAATGGCAAGTGTGAGCCCCTTTAGCAAGACCCAGTCTCAAAGCAGTAACATTTCAAAGGTTGAGGATGTAGCTCAGCAAGAAGTCCCTGGGTTAAATCCCCAGGAAGCCCCTTCCCAATTTAATAAACATGCAGTCTAAATAGCTATCATTGAACATACTGAATATTAATGAAAGGATATGGATGTCCAGAATTTGCTTTAGAATTGTCCATAATCGGCCAGATGTGGTGACACTGCCTGTAACCCCAGCACTCGGGAGGCTGGGGCAGGAGGATCACCATGAATTCAAGGCCAGTCTTGACTCCACTGTGAGTTCAAGGCCAGCTGAACTACACAGCAAGAGTATGTCTTTTAAAAAGCTGTCTATAATTAACAATGAAAAAGAGGAAAATGAAACAGGAATATTTCTAGGTGATGGGTACATGGAGGTTTACTGCTCTGGTCACTCTATTTTTTGTGTATGTTTCAAGTTTTCTGTTAGAAATGCTCCAAAACATGGCAACCCTCAAAATGCCCTACTTTCATCACTGTGTAACGGAACACTTGGGAGGGAGGTTGCTGAGAAGCACTGGCAACAGGTGGCTGAACACAGAAAGCAGGTACTAACTGACACCTGTTTGGGCCATGCAATATTACGTACTGACTAAAAGTTAATAGTGCTTTCAAAGACTGCAGACCTAGAGAAGGAGCTGCTGCACTAGATACTCACTGTGACTCAGGATAAGCTTTAGACATAACCTCATTCAATCTCTTTATAAGTAAGCTAGTAAAAAAAGACTGACTACCCAGTCAATCATAGGGTTAACCACAAAACTGGGGAGAAAACTCACCCAAATCCAGTGCTATTTTTTTTAAAAAACAAAATCCATACTAAACACCTTAAACACAGAGTACATGTAATTCACTCATCCCATTGTTAACTGTCAGTAAAACTTGCCTCTTTCTCTGGGTACAGAAGATCAAAGAGCTTCATGACCGGGAGAAAATCGGCGAGGGCGTTTTTCTGAATACTTCCAGAGATGAACTGCAGGAGAACCCACATCAAGTGGTCTCTGCCTTTTATCAGTCCTCGCCCCGCCAACTGCAAGAGATGGGGAGGGGCTGCTGTATGCACGGCTGCTTCAAGGGTGGCCACACAGGTCTCAGGGCTTTGCTGATGCTTTCAAGAAACACCCTGGTGTTACAGTTTGGATCTTAAATGTGCCCAGCAACCCAGGTACTGAAACCTTGATTCCGAGTGGACGGTGCTATTGGGAGGTGATGGGACCTTGGAAGTGGGCTTCTGTGCTTCGGCAGCACACACATGAAGAGCAGAAGTGGACCTCATGGAGGAGGTCTCTGAGGGGGACCCCTCCAACCCCCGAGAGCCACAGGTTTCCACAACCACATGATCCCACTATGAGGTGCTGCCTCGCCACAGGCCCAAAACAAAAGGCCCCAGAACCAAGGCTGGAACCCTGCAGAACAGTGAACCTGAGCCACTCTCCCCTCCTGGCAAGCTGCTTGTCTCAGGTACTCTGTCAGCACAATGAAAAACTCACTAATGTATATATGTCTCGTCGAAAATCGGAAATTCAGTGTTTCAGAATATAACTTAATTGATCTTGTGTATTTAAGAATCAAGATCGAGCAAATTAAAACAATACTGAGATACCACCTCACCCCGAAAAGAATGGCTATTATCAAGCAATCAACCAGTAATAAACGCTGGAGGGGCTGTCAGGAAAAAGGAACCCTTCTTCACTGTTGGTTTGAGTATAGACTGGTGGAACCACTGTGGAAATTAGTGGGTTGATTCCTCAAAATAATAGGATTAGAGGTTCCATTTGACCCAGCTAGTCCCCTTCTGATTACCTTCCAAGAATTAAAAACATCATACCACAGTGATATATATGCACTCATGTTTAGAGCAGCACAATTTGCAATAGCCAGATCTTGGAAACAACTTAAATGTATACAGACTGAGGAATGGATAAAAAAGATGTGATATTTTTATATAAAGAAGCACTACTCAGCCATAAAGGACAGACTTGAGATTTTGATAGGTAAATGGATGCAACGTAAGAACATATTCATAATCGAAATAAATCAGATACCCGTGTAAACATCGTAATGTCTTACTAGTGTGAGAAGCTGAAACTCTGTGTGTCTATGATAATTAAGAATTTACACTACTGATTTCTGAGTTCACTGAAGAGAAAGGTTTGTGCTAGTATTGTTCAGACAATTAAATGCAGATATCTTGTTCCAATGCCTGGAATCCCAGTACTCTTTGGGAAGATGAGGCAGCAGAACTGCCCCAAGTTCAAGGTCATCCTGCGTTAATAGTGAATTCAAAGCCAGCCTGAATTACTTGTCTCAGAAAAACAAAAAACGAACAAAAAAAAAAAAAAAAAGAATAATTCTTGTTAAAAGTACCTCAAAACAAATACTTTGTTACATAATTTTTGATATCTAAAACCCCCAAGGACTGGCTACCATAAAGCATTGCTTGACTCACTGAGGTCAGAGAGACACCAGCAGCAAGGCCAGGGTCTGACAGAAAGCCTTCCCCTCCCACCAACACAGGCACCCATGCTGCAGAGATGGCACCACCGGATCAACACCTGCCTTACCCCCTCAGGGTGTGGACAGCCTTCCGAGGAACGTCCTCCCTTGTTCCGTGGGTTCGCAGTCCCGTCCTATCCATCATCACGCAGGAAGCAGGAGCAAAGCTTGCTGGTCCTCCGCTACCTGCCAGCCATCTGGACCCGCACACGGCCCTTGGCACACCTGACCTCTTCCTCCCCTGCCTGGGCAGGGCCTTCAGCGCCTGCTCTGGCCCACTGCCATGACCCCACCACCCTCCTCCTCTCTGGTGCACCCTATGCCCATCCCCACACTACTCTTTCTCCATGGGGCCGTTAGTAAAGTTCACAACCTATATACCAAAGAAAATGGAAGTGCTCGATAAACAAATAAGCTTATAAAGCTGACATAAAAATGCTGATGTCTATTCTAAACACCCGGTATATATTAAGAATTTTTAAAAATAATAAACAGGCTGAGTAAAGTTCGCTGTGTCTCCCTTTGCCTTTCTGCCTTCCTATCACCAATATTTCTCCTTTTTTATTTTCCTTTTCAGTGCTCACACATCTCTATCTCTTTCCAAATAATGATCTCATTGCTGGGAAGACACTTTGCTATTTTTCTTCTTGGCAAATTTCAACATCCTTCAAGTATTAACATAAAGATCTCTGCTACAGCCAGTGCTGATCTTTATTAGTGACTACTCCTTTCCACGCCTACCCAGGAGAGCATGGCTCCACGATGCCGACTACATTCCCAAGGAACTGCTAGTCCACATATCTGCCCCTCCAGGGAGGCGGTCCTTGGGGGCACTAGGAGGCCTTTTCATGTTGCATCCCCCGGTCCCTCAATTGTGAGTATGTAGAATGAATGACTGAATCCAGTATCAAGAAAGCAAAAAAAAAAAAAGAAAGAAACCATAAGAGTCCTCAACAGGACAGAAATGGGGACTGCAACTCCTGCCGCTTGTGCAATCACCGGGCGGTGCCCACACCAGTGTGAAACACGCCAGTCCATGGGCTGCGGGACACGGACATACCTTCTGATGCAGAGAAAGGACCATGTGCGGGAAGCTGGCAAACTGGAAAAGCACAAAGAAAATGAGCTGGCTGGAGAGATGCTGCCACAGGAGTTGGCTGGTGCCTCCGTCGTCGAACTTCTCCTCGGTCTCCGACCGCTCCATGGCGTACACCACCAGGTCCACCAGCTGGTCCTCCAGCACTGGGCAGCGCTGCTTGTGCTGTGGGGCAGAGAGTGGACACAGTATTCCACAGGCTTCCCGATTAGTCCACACACCACCAGCTACCGGACATCAGTATACAGACAGGCTGAGAAGCACGGAGTGAGGCAGAACCCAAGAAATTAAGGTTAGATTCAGTCTATTAAAGCTGCATCACGTCACAGTAGCAGAGGAGGCGTCTGATGAAAAATTCTATTTAGGTCTTCCACAAAGCAGATTTCCCATTAAGTTTTAACTCTTACAACAGACATCACTGTTCCAATCTGACAATGGCACAACACAGTACAAAGTTTCATTTATCCTTTGGGGGAAAAAATAACATTTTAAGGGTCAAACAAAATGGGAAAAATGGTATTAATTTTGCAATTTGGCTCAAAGATGAAAACCCTAAATTTCCAGGGATCAAATATTAAGAAAGAACAAATAACGCAGTACGTGAATCTATTGGAAATTAACAACTCAGAAATTTATTTATGGACATTAATCTAAATAGCTGTTGTATTTAGTATGTGATAATAATCCTATTAAAACTGAAAATTCCTCCCCAATTAACAACAACAAAAATCATCTCAAAGTTAATCTCTGCTCGTTCTCCCTGGAAGACAGACATAATGCAGCTTTAATTTTAAATTAGATCATTTTAAAATCTAAAAGAATTGAGTTTAAACACTAACAATGAAAATGCAACTTCCCTTTCTAGAGGCAAAAAGGTTTATGATTCTAAAAAATGATTTAAAATATATATATGCTTTTTTTTTTTAACCAAAAGATGTTGGGCCACATTTGAAAAGCCACTTATTTTTCCTTTAAAAATATATGATTTAGTAGCAGGCAGTTGGAAGCCTTTCAGTGAATACAATTACGAATACAGATACTTTCCCCAAACTTTAAATGTAATTAACAAATCTTTTGCCATGAAAAAGGGATATGATTTCTTTAAATTTAGAGGAAAAAATGCAAAGTGGGGATTAATTTGGAAATAAACAAACATAATGGATCGCATCCCCTTTTGCATGCTCTTTGCCAGCTCCAAATTGTAAAGCTCCAATATAGCTGCACTTTCTTCAGACATGCAGATACAACAAACATCTACCCAAACAGGAAGCATTAATGCTTGTTTCGTATTCTTCCCAAAACACAAGGCCATGATCACGGTTCAACCACACTACAGGTTTACGAAGAGCAAGATTAACACCACCGGCTGGGACTACAATACTGCTCCTCCAGATGGAACTGTCATTACGCAGCAGAGCAGAGTGCAACAGACAACACTACAGACTAGTTCCCAAGTCAGCATGCAAACTACTGTGTACAGGGCTTGAAATTCACTAGTTCTGCCAACCACCAACAACCTAGGAAATGTGTCAGACAACACAAATTTAGAGTGAGATCATCTGAAGAATGCAAGAGTCAGGAAAATTTGTGAAAAGAAGTAAAGCCAGGATTTCCAGTAGGAATTTTTCACAAGTGATGAGAATTTGCTTCCACTTTGGAAATTGATTTACAATCTATTTCTCCATCCTAGGTGGTGATCCATCAGTTTACTTCAGGAAAAAAAGAGCACACAGATAAAATTGGTGTTCTGCACCTGAGCGACTTTGGCGTTTGTTTCCATTTTTAGTTTTAGCTATATTTTCTTAAAAAAGAACTAGATTCTCACCTGTTTTCTTAGGTGTATCATGATGGTCAAAGAGTTAATGATTTAAAGGGAAAGCAAAAAAAAAAAAAAAAAAAAAAAACCCACTAAACTTTTGACAAGATAAAAACAACTGGGAAGCTTATAGTTAAAACTGAAGATTTTTCAAGGTACACCAGCCATGACCCAAGATTCTCCCCCACCAATCTGCTAAAGCTTTGGTATATCACAGTAGGGGGACATCTACCAGGATTAACTATAAATTTCCCAGAGGGTTTTGGATAAAAACCAAGGATATTTCTCAAGCCAAGTTTAACGACTGCTTTAAACATGTTGCTTTGTTTTGATAGTATCAAAAAAATTGTGAAATATAAAATGATCTGACCTACTTTTGAAAAACACCTTTTGCTTTAATTTGTAATTATTAAAAATAGATGCATTAAAATTAAGATTCTTTAACACATAGTAGATTGTTTTACAATGTGGGATAAATGAATATCTGTTAAGCAGTTTAATGATCTATGAATAAAACTATCAGTCACTAGGCTAAGCTAATTCTGGCAGTCAGCAATGCTAGACCTTTGGCTACCCCTGTTTTCTGAAGATATCAGTCAAGTTAAGGCTGTAGAATACTGACATTAGTTAATTTTTTTGTTTACCTCAAATCTGTAAGTATATTTAGTGAAAGCTTGTTTTAATAGTAAGAATACCCCTAAACTAAGTATTTTAACAATTCTATTTGTACATCATACTCCAAACTGTGAAGATAATTTTGAATTTTCAGCTTTGGTAAAAGCTAAATGTCCAGCACAAGGCACTAAAATAAACATTGGTATTAACCTTTACTCACTTCCCCGATTCTTTCCCACCACTACGTCACCTGGCAAAAGGACATTTTTCATTCTTAGTATCCCAAATCCTATGAGTGGCATTTGACATTTTGCCTGGTACCAGTGAAAACGTAATTGTGCTAACAGGGCTTATGTTAATTCAAATCACTGTATCAGTGTTCTACCTCTGTTTTAAACCAATACTTATTCAGGTCAAGTTGGGATGGGAAAATTCCTTTTAATGGCATTTATGAATTTTCTGCTTTTCCCAAAGAAGCTGCCAATTGGAGCCAGAGGCCATGCTGGGTGAGAACTTTCAGGTTATTTTATGGAGAAACCGAGCAATCCGGTTTGAAGTGGGCTCATGGCAGCCAGAGTTCAGTGCACCACCTAAGAGCTAGAGCAGTGTAGCTGATTCATTTTAAGTGTTTTTGTTTAGCAGAAAATAATACAAGCTATTATACATAAACACCTAAAGGATTTTTCCACCATGCTGGTCATAGACCTGGGCTATTTATGACCTGAATGTCACCAATTTTAGAATAAAATACAGCCCAATTCCTACTGGAAAATGCAATATGACAGTGCTTAAAAAGTTTCAAGCTTCAAGTAAATTATTGCATTGCTAGAGGAAAGACCAGAAAGTATAGTAGAAGACATAGTTCTGTAATGATAAAAGTTGTGATAAGATGATTTGGTTATTTTTAATCATATGCTTTTTATTTTATGTTCTCATTTTTTAAAATCTACTTTCTCGTAGGTAAAAACAATATATCAAATCCGTTTAGCATATTATCTTCCTATGAGTCCCCTCGCTATAGTTTTCTATGAAAACAATCACTGATGAAGTGTGAATTTTTGACAATGTTACACCACAGTGGAACCAATATTAATGTTCTGTCAGCATTTCCATTATAAACTTTATTTTTTATGGATTTATGTCTTAGTCATAAACTTTTTTGAGGTTGAAACTTGTTACTGAAATTATCAGATCAGAAACACTCTTTTGGGAGTTGTTTTTGTCAATTTCCATTTTGAGAAGATCTCCCCGCAGAAAAGAAAAAGCCATGGACAGTGAAAGCTTTCTGGGGGAAGGTACTCAGCTCAAAGGACCATGAGTACGTTTCTCCACAAACTGTAAAAAAATTGAGTCAGGTATGACTTAAGGTTCATAAATTACTGTTAAGACATCGCATGAAGCATTCTTCCCAAGTTAGTTGAATACTTACCTCCAACTCAAGAGAAAGGTGGTCAGAATTAATGACTTGGTACTTAAGATGTTAAATTGGTAGACTACAGGAGGTAACTGTCAGGTACTCTAGTGGTGAAGCAGTTTCAGTGTCACAAGTACAGAAGGCTTGTCCAAACAAGGAAACTTGGTCAATTTTTCAGAAGAAAAAACTTAAAATAATAAGAGATATTGCTACTGGGGTGAGGTTTGGCATGCAAAGTTTCAACACTGAGCAAGTTTTATGGCCAAGCTATATGTCCTTAAAAACAGGGCTTTATAAATGGAAGCACTGGCACAACCTTCACTATAGTATTGCAAACAGGAACGCTATTTTATATAACCTAGACAAGAACGTCTTTTTAAAATCAAAAAGCTGGTCTGTTTTAACATATTGGGCTCAAAAACATTTTATCAAAAAAGAACTGGAACCACTATTTTGCTTAAAATCTCACAGGTGAAAAGTCCTGGAACCCACTTGGGACTGCACAAGAGTCTGGCTGACAAGCTGTGGCCGTGGTGTCGCCCCCTCCACGGGGGCTGCAGCTGAGGTGCCCGCACATGGACCAGGACACATCTGGCAAGACTGAGAAAGACAGGTGTGCATCCAGTGATGCGGGTCACCTACGGGTGTGACATTCCTCAGTCAGTCTCCGAGGCCAAAAAAGCCTTCCCTGATAACATTACCACTCAGACTTTCACAAGTGGTAGAGCTATCACAGTGCTTTGTTTTTCTTTCTTTTTTGTTTTAACTTGTTTTTGTTTTAAGGCAAAGCAACATAAGCGTTTTTGTTGTGGTTTTATTTATTTTACTAGTCTGGAAAGATAGATAGAGATTACCCCCAAATCTTTCCATCTTGAAAATTCCATCAGGCTAACTTTAGCCCTAAAGCAGGCAAACAGTAAAATTGAGTGGGAAGGAAAAAGAACCTGTCAAAAAGTGACAGGTGTCATTGAGTGCCAGGTGTTGTCTCTTTCTTTAAAAAAAAAAAAAAGAAAAAAAAAAAAAAGGAAAAAAAGAATATAAAAAAACAAACACCGAAAAAAACCAAAAACCAAAAACCAAAAACCATCCACCAAAAATAACTCTCATATCCCAAGAGGAGATTTTGTAGTGGCCTTGGTCTCAGCACGGCCCTGCCAATTTCAAGCCCCGACCACACGCGTATCCGCAATGGGATCAGTGGCTACAAAGCGGCCAGCGTATAGTTAGTCACAATACAACAGTAAGGTTGTGGACGTACCTGCGCAACGTTCAAGGTCTAGAGCATTGGAGGGTGGGCAGGACAAGACAGGACAGAACAAAAATAAAGGAAGAAGAAAAGAAAAGACAAAACAGTGACTATGAGGCCAGCCTCAAGGGACCCAGCGTCAGCATAAACCCTCCCACATGTTAAACCACCAAGAACACCAACACACACCAAGAAAAGAAAAAAATCACCAAGGCGGCCACGCTGAAGACACCAGGGTGATAAAAACAGACACCCCAAACAACAAAAAAAAAGGGCAAAAATTATGGTTAAGTCATGTGTAGGTTTCTCTGGCAAAAGGTATACTTGAAACTGGCCTTATAGAAAAAAAAGCAATGCAAAATAAACCAACTTTAAAAATACTGTTTTAAATTTAAACATTCTTAAAGCAATATATAAATGGTTAAAATAATACATTGTTTGATACACTATATTCTTCAAAAACGTCACCAAAGAGTTCTTAACTGTTTTGCTCAGTCAGCTACAGCAAAGAAAAGAGAAAAGAATAGTGCAGATTCTATGCAGATCACACCAGGTTTCCAGCATACAGTACCTGCTTATTTAAACCTAGCATATTGCAGACCATATCCCTGGAATAAGGCTGCTCCAATACATATCTCAACAAAGCAGTCTGCGGTTCAAACAGATCCTTTAAAGAAAATGAAAACAATTATTGCTTCAAGAGAAACATAAATGTTAATTCAGATTATTTTAAATTGAGCATAAGTCTTTTAAAGGTACTTGTTACCTTCCCATAGTAGGCAGAATCTAGTGGAAAAAATTACAGGATTTTAGTGCTTTCAGTGAATCTGCTGACACCCCTCATTTGACAGCTGAGGAAGTTATAAGGTCACGCAGAAGGACAGTGATGACACGAGGTTACTCCTCTCCCCAGTGCACACACAATCATACACACTTCTCAAGCTGAGAGTCTCACAGTGTCTATTTATATGATTTTTGTCCTAGGTGACAATGGTTTTGATAGAGGCCTTATCAAGCTGTTTGCTTCCTTTCTGTGAAAACCTAAGACAATTTTGCACAAAAGTCTAGATTTATAAGCTTGCAAATTCCAATAACCACATCTAGTTTATAAAAACTACAAGGTGTATTTAAAAGTAAAGTCTTTTTAGTGTACCGTCATTTTATCCATATGCCTTAATGGAAGCTTATCAATCTCTCATTTCCCTACGAGACTGCCAAACTGGCCAGGCGTGGTGGTACACGCCTGTAACTGCAGCACCCCACAGGCTAAAGCAGCAGGGTCACCATAAGTTTGAGGCCAGCCTGGGCTACCTAAGTGAGTTCAAGGCCACCCTGCACTATGCTATATACCCTGTCTCAAAAACAAAACAAAACAACTCAAAAAAATAGTAGTAACAAAAAAATTGCCAAAAAAGCTTTCTTGAATTTAAATACTTTCAGAGAAGCAGATGACACCATCACATGCCTATTTATATTTTTTAATTTAGTTCACTTATATTTAAAATAGACTGATTTTAAAATACTTATACTGATTAAATGTATCAATTTTTTCTTTTGTGTCTGACACAGGGTCTGGCTACATAGTTCTGAATGGCCTCAAGCTTGCAGCGATCCTTCTGCTTCAGTCTCCTTAGTGCTGGGATGGCAGGCATGCATCACCACACCCAGCTAGATGTATTAATTTAGAAAGATTTCTTCTAAGTTTATTCTAACCCTTCTATGCATGCTGGACAATTTCTGAATTACATCTAGTTTCATATAGCACATCATTTCCATTTTGATCTATGTTGTCGGAGACAGTGTTCTGACCCAGCCAATCCGGTTTCCTTTGAGCAGCCCCTTTGAGCAGCATGATGCTGGTGTGTTTTCACTCTGCACTCTCGAGCTACTGGCAGCAGAGATAGGGGTGGTGGGAGACACTTCATGTACTGTGTTTGAAGACACTGAAAACCATGCTATTTAGGTGTGGTAGAACACTCCTGTAATCCCAGAACTTGGGAGGCTGAGGCAGGAGAATCATTTGCAAGCTCAAGACCAGCCTGGGCTACAGAGTGAGCCCCAGGCCAGCCTGAACTGCATAACGTAACCCTGTCTCAGAAAGACCAAAAAAAAAAGAAAGAAAGAAAGAAAAGAAAACTGTGCTATTGTAATGGTAAAGTAAAAACTCTGGCATAGTTACTCCCTAAGTTTCTTCCTTTTTTCTTTTAAACAGATTATCAAGTTGTAGTCTCACTCTCTCGATTCAGCCCCATTACCAGAACTTCCCAGGATTCTGCATCTTTCCTCATTTAAATAGTCAAGATCTGTGAAGGTGGACAGGTACACAGCATTCACTTCAAGGATTAGTTTAAGGGATTCCTCAGGTCACTTTAAAGCCAAATTACTAAGAGCTGATTTAATGTGAGTACATTTGTAAGAAAAGGACCAAGATGCAACATATGCATGGATGAATATTCCACAGTGATTACATGTCATGTATTGCAATAATGCTCATTAGAAGCCAAGTGTGACGAATCACACCTATAACCTCAGTACTTCGGAGGTTGAAGCACGGGAATCGTTGCAAGTTCAAGACCAGCTTGGGCAACAAAGTGAGTCCATGGCCAGCCTGAACTGCATAGTGAGACCCTGTCTCAAAAAGACAAAACAAAACAAAAAAAACTCATTAGAAAAGCAAAACAAGTAAGGGTCCTACAGAAGACCCAAAAATCATAACCAGCCAGGCGTGAAGGTGCACATCTGTAATTTTAGCACTCAGAAGGCTGAGGCAAGAGGATTCCCTTGAGTCCAAAGCCAGCCTGGGCTACACAGTGAATTCAAGGCCTGCCCGGACTGTATAGTGACATAGTGTCTCAAAAAAAAAAAAAAACCAAAACCAAAACCAAAAAACAAAGTCTTAATGAATAGGAGAGGAAAAAAGAAAGAAAAAAAAGCAACTGTCTCAAAAAGCAGCGGTCCAGTCGCCAATACTGCTCATCAATACAACAGTCTAGGAGTGGTGCTCCTGGAGCAAATGTCACAATTCCACACCTCTTCCCCTGAAAACTAGCATTGAAACGGGACTGCCGATACAATCCTGTAAGTTTTAAGCATCACTGAATGGGAAGAATTTTCTGCCCAGAACTCTAAAGAGAAAGGAAGGGAGCTTTCAAACACTTTCCTACAAGAGAAAAAGTATAAATATTATTTCTAATTTTGGAGAGGGCAAACGGCTTGATAGCACAGTGGTTAAGAGTAAGGATTCTGGGGGCTGGGGATTTAGCTCAGCAGCATAAGCGCCTGCCTTGTAAGCATGTGGTCGTTTGATCCCCAGTACCAATAAAAAGAAAAAAAAAAAAAAAATAGAGTATGGATTCTGGATCAGACTGAGTTCAAATTCTTTTTCTTGAAATGTGTGGTCTTGGTCTAGGGGTCAGTTTAAAATGTGAATTCTCTAAGTATTTTGCCAGAGCTGAACTGCTGAAAAAGAATACTCACAAGAGCACCACCACCAAGCTGTACTTGGACAGTGGAACAATGTGACATTCTACAAGCAGTCTTAACTTAAACCCTGAGTTCTTCAGGCCAGGAAGAGGTAGTTGGTGTCATTCTCTGTATAATCCAGGATGAAGGCCGTACAGTGAACCGCAAGTGCCATTACCTTTAGAAACATACCTTGTCATACGGCAACAGGCCTTTCAAAGGAAAACGAAGAGTTGCAGGATCTAATTTCCAAGAATTACAAATGGCGCCTGAGTTATTTACAACGGGCAGGAGACTGCAGCGGCCTGTACGTATTGCAAAAATGTGTTTAAGTAAATGTGAACGCAACAGTGCCAGCCCCTCCATCCCCTCCACGGATACTTAACTGTATATGCTGAACTAGGCACTGGTTTAAAAATGGCTTTAAAAATGTTCTAATGAGATTGAAATGTGGGGATTTTCTTTGATTATATTTCATCCTGATGGTTCAAGATCAATTTGTTCAGAACTTCCACACTTAAAAAGGTTGCATTTTGTCTCAAAGTCTAAGCCAACAATCAGCAAACTATAACCTGCCGGTCAAATCTAGCCTGGTATCTGACTATGAAAGTTCTTTTGGAACCTGGCTGCTCTTGCAGTAGAATAGAACGTAGAGCTGAGCAGCTGCAGCACACTGCACCGCATAAGAGATGACCCTTCTGGCTTTCAACAGTCAGAGCTGGGTACGGCGGTGAATGCTGTGGTCTCAGCACTATGGGAGGCTGAGGCAGGGGCTTACAAATTCAGGCCTAGCTTGGCAACTCAGCCAGACCAGCTCTCCAAATAAAGATAGGGTGGGGGTTATGTCTTAGTACAAAGGTGCCCTGGTCAAAGATCGAACAAAGGCAAAAATCACCAAAACTCAGGCTCTATTGAGCACTGTTATAATCCTACCACAAATGGAGTTTATCCTCGCTGTGGGTCTGAAGGTATCCACAAAGTCCGACACTAGGTTTCCAAGTATCTAAAAAAAAAGTATAAAAATACCCTGAATTGAGGGGTTACCTATATACACAAATACATGAAAATATATAATGTAATACCTGGCACACAATAATTAGGTAATTATTCAAACATGAGATCCCTTTTTTTTCCCCCAAACAACTACTTATCAACTCATGAATAAAACTGTGTTACACCACTGTGTCCTTAGCTACTTGAGAAAGTTGTGTATGTAACAGAGGGCATAAAAATGTCTCAACTGGCCATCATAAAAATGAAACATATGATGCAAAAAAAAATATGATGTGTTATCTAAAGATGAAAGTAAACATTTTAACATAAGCATAGAAGGCCTTGGAATCAATCAATCCCTGGTCCGTAAAAAAAATAAGCATATAAGCAAAATTAATATAAATATTTTAAAATTTCTGTTAAATTCTTAGAACAATGAAATGTACCCAGTGTGGAAGTTTCCCCTCGGGATACAGCTTCCTGATCTCCGTGACTGCAAAATAGGCTGGCAGGAGGCAGGCGTTTCTCTCCAGGATGTACGCGATGACCTAAGAGGAAGAAAGGGCAGCGGTCCTCTCACCACCCACTCCAGGGCCTCAACACTCCAGGAGGCAACAGACAACGTGAAACACTGCAAGACTGCTTTCCTGGGAAGACGCTGATCAAGGGACACAACGTCAGTGCAACACAAGGAATAACTTCCAGAGACTGACTGACTATCTTAATGACTACAGTTAATAATTACATATCGTACACCTGAAACTGCTATGGGAACAGATGTGAAGAGTTTCTCCACAAAAAAGTAAGTACTAGGGGACTGGGGATTTAGCTCAGCAGCATAAGCGCCTGCCTTGCAAGGGAGGCGGTCGTGAGTTTGATCCCCGGTACCGATAAAAACAAACAAACAAAAAAGTAAGTACTAAGGTCAATATATATATACATAAATGTCAATATATACAGATTTTTACTTGTTAATTAAACAAAAGGAAATTAGCACCAAAGGATTCCTTTAAAGAACATTAAAAATGTCTAAAAATGAAGGATGATGAACAATAAAATGGACTGTGGTTAACAAATGTCTCTAAAATGCTTTACATATTATTGATTTAGGAGAGCAGTAGACCAAAATAAAATTATTGCAACATTAATTATAAAGCAGAAATATTTCAAGTGGTTCACAGGTTGGTATATGCTTCAAAATATTTTAACATTTATATTGCTGTTACATAATTAAAACCAGAAATTGCAATTAAAATTTCATTTTAAAATATAGTAATGTTGAAAGATCACTATTAGGAATATAAATGGTTTTTTTCTGTAGAATAAAACTCTCCACAAAGTAGTATAGGTTTTAAGAGCAGAACCCAAATAAAACTAGACTTTTGTTTTTTGAGACAGGATCTTAGCATGCAGCCCAGGCTGGCCTCAAACGCACAGAAATCCTCCTGCCTCAGCCTCCCAAGTGCTGAGATTACAGGTGTATACTATCATGCCCAGCTAAAACTACACTTTTTTGGAGCTGTGGGGAACAGATCTGACCAACATCTAGGTACCTCTCTTGCTGTCAGAAGTTGCTGTACGACAGCAGAGCTCACTGTATTAGGAATTGTCAAGATTTTCTCCAAAATCGCTTTTAAGAGATCTCGAACACCCTGATACAAGAAAGAAAGACACAGGTTAAAATGAAGTAATGAGCGCTCTCATGTTAGCCAGAACATTCAAAAGTTTCAGTATTATGGACTCCTTTCAGGTTACATCTTTAAGATTTCCAAATCAGAATTAACATTTAAATTCCCACCACCAACTCAAGCAGAGAGTCATGCTCCAAAATAGAATTCTCAACTCATGTCTCACGTATGAGTTAAGCTGCTAATAAATAAAAACTAGAATTTCTGTACCCCACAGAACTTTTCAGCCCTCCAAACATTAGAAGAGTTTCTAATGTTCCAGATGAGTCAAGTTTCCCTTGTGCTGTGGCGAAAATCAAAACACGACATGGACACAGTGGAAACGCAGGCAGCTGTGCTCAGCTCTCTGCAGAGGACTCTCTCTGTTCATTCACTCCTCTCAGTGTAGTCTAACTGTATCCCCGTTTCATCCAGCACACACTTGAACCCCTCAGGGGTGTCCCCCACGTTATTCTGGTAGGCATCTCTACATATCACTACCAGCTGTATTATCACCTGATACACAGACAACCTTTTATTCAGCCCCGGGCATTTATGGGGTCTACGCTGTGTGCCCAAGCTTGTAAAAACAGGGCAGACACATGGATGACATGTACTTGTCACCACACAAGCAGAAGGGACAAACTGGCTAGGTCGAGGGAAAAGAAAATAATCAGAAAAGGTTCCTCAAAGTGAATCTGAGTTGAATCATGATTGAAATAACGATCTGCCAAGTCAGTAAGTCACTTCAGGTTGGAGAAAATACAGACATAAAGCACAAGGTAAGGTATTAGCAACTCTGAAAAAGAACAGTAGAAAATACATGTCTTCTGCAGCTCAAAAGGCAAAATAAAACAAACTAAAATAAGAGTGCAAGGTCATGACTTCAATTCCGGGTACCAAACAAACAAAAATTAGACAAGTTATGCAAATACTTTCACTTGGTTTCTCCTGAAAGTCAGATAATGCACTCTGAAAAGTATACAAAAGCAACTACTTTTTGCAATTAGAAAAAAAAAAATACCTTGTAATCCACACCCCCAATTATTTTCCGAACCAGTTTAAAAGTTAGGGCCCACAGCTGTGTTCGTTCCCATTCGAGCGTGTCGGAGTTTATCAGGGACTCACAGACCATCCTGGAAGAGAGGGAACACACGTGTCACCAAGCCACCGGGACCAGGCACATCCCCGCAGCTGTGACCCAAGTGCCTGGGAGACTCGCTTGGCAGAGCAGGCACCTGTCATAAACTCGGCACACCTGACCAGACTTTAGGACTGTATTGGTCTACAGTTCTTACTTGTACAAAAGACCAGACACCAAGTAGAACTAAATGATCTTCATAATACACTTTACCAGAAACTGCTTTTACTAGAAAAAATCTACTAAAAAGCTTTTAGTTGGTGGCAGAATGTACTTTTTCCAACACAGCTACACCACACTTTGCAATCCCACCTGCTCTTTTCTTTTTTGAGACCAGGTCCGAACAGTCTGAGTGTGGAATGCTCGAGTATACTACTGATGCAACGTACAGTCTCCGCCATTCTGACAGTACATCAGACACTAATACATACACTCACTGTACATACACTACTACATACGTGCTAATACATATACCCTTCTTTTATCCGCATAAAACTGAGGTAAGACAGTAAGGCTTGTTACTAGAGTCACTTAGAGATTACCGAGTTTAAATCATTTCCCGATGTTTCTTAGGAAACATTCTCAGCCTGCTGCAGTTTAAGTCCAGCAAGGAGAGCTTTCCTGTCTGTTTGAGGTGACAGACAGTCACAGAGGCAGGCGTCTGCAATCGGGCGCTAACATGGTGGAGCTGCTCAGCAGCAGGCTGTGGCTGAAGCCTCAGCTGTGCCGTCTCCCAGCAGAAGAGTCACTTTTATTTCACTACAGGAACTTGCCCAGGCTTCATTAAAACCCAAGCATGCACGGGCACACGCACCTGGGTGGCAGCAGCCCGGTCTCAACAGCCATTGCCAAGCAGTCATAAAGAAACGAGATCCGTTTGGGACTATGCTGGCCATGGATAAACTTAACGATCCACTGGATGCACTGCTCATGAGACTCCTGCAGCCAGAGAAGAGCTGTACGTTACATGTGAAATTACATTTCCTCACCTCACAGACACAGCAATACAATGAGATGCAAGAGACTGCACTACCACTGGGAAAAGTGTCACACATCTGCAATTCCAGCACTCAGGAGGCCAAGGCAGGAAGATCATCGTGTGTTTGAGGCCCAGCTGAGTTACACAGTGAGTTCAAAGCCAGCCTGAACTAAAATGGCAACATCTCAGTTCAAAAAAAACCAAAATATAAGTAAATGAATAAATAAGTAATACTTAAAATTTAACACCAATGGATGGAACTAGTCTCTTAAAAAGTAAAATGTGGCGTCGCATGGCAGTGCACGCCTATAATCCCAACACTTGAGGGGCTGAGGCAGGCGCCAAACCTGCCTTCAAGTTTGAGTCCATCCTGGGTTACGAAAGTTCAAGGCCAATCTGAACTGTTTAGTGAAACTGTCTCAAAATAACAAAAGAGAAAAAGAAAAAATATTAAAAGATAAGAACAATTCAATATTTGTTATATTATGTTTAAAACCTTGCAACTGATTGTTTTTTCAGTTTGCTACATAATTCAGATTGGCCTTAAATTTGTAGCACTCCCCCTGCCTCAGCCTCTCAAGTGCTGGGATTACATAGGCATGTGTCACACTCAACTCAAAATAAAACTTCAAGACATGAATGCACTCCACGATTAGCACCAGTGGCTCACACAAACAGAGGCCATTTCCCTACAGGCCAACCAGAGGAGGAGGAAATGGATGAATGGAAAGCAAGCTCTTGAAGGACACTGTACTTCATCTCTTCTATGGACATGTTTTCTGCTTTCTGTTACTAAGTCTATGGCTTCTTTTCTTGTTTTTGCTACTGTATCTGGGTATCCTCTTTACAGAATGTTCAAATTGTTACTGTATCTTTGCTATAGTATCTTTGTCATTTTTCATTCCATGATGTGCTTTGAATAAAAAAATGAAATTATTGTTTTATGAGAAAAGTTTTAACATTTGTTTTGAGATTCTTCAAATAAATCAAAACAGGATGAAAATGATTTTTACTAACATGAGACATTTTTAGTTTGGTGTTTTTGTTTGTTTGTTTGGTTTTTTGTTTTTTTGAGGCTATGGGGTTTAGGCTGGTCTTAGGCTCACTTTGTAGCCCAGGCTGGTCTCGAACTCACAAAGATCTTTCTATCTCAGCCTTCAGAGTGCTGGGATTACAGGAGTGCACCACCATGCCTGGTTATTTGTCTGCTTTTTGAGACAGGCTGCCTCTACTATATAGTGGAGGCAGGGCTCAGAGTCATGGTGATCCTTTGTGTCAGCCTGCCAAGTATTCAGATAATAGGTGTGGTTCAGCATGTCTATCATTATGGGGGACATTTTAAAAACATCTCCCACTTTCTGATTAAACTGGCAAAATAACCAGCTATGGGCTATGAAGCTCAATGGAACAGAACAGAGGATGCAGAGACAACACAGGCAACTTGGCTGCTTCATCTGTCAAAATTGTGCACAGGAGGAAAGAGCATCTCTTCAACAGACGGTGCTGGGAGAACTAGCTTTCCACATGTGGAAGACTGAATCTAGAACTGTATCTCTCACTATGTACTAAACTAAAAAGCAGAGTGGATCAACGACCTAAACATTACATCAGAAATACCTAATCTGGTGAAAAATGAAATACGTGTAACTCTTGAAGATATAGGTATAGGCAAGAACTTTTTGAACAGAACTCTAATGACACAAGAATACTAAGAATCAACAAGTGGGATGGTATCAAACTAAAAAAACTTCTATATAATAGGATAACCAACAGAATGAACAGTCAACCTACAGCACAGGACAAAATTTTGGCCATCTATTCCAAGGGCATAAGACTAATATTTAGAATATATTAAGAACTCAAAAGCTTAGACCCACCCCCCAATAAAAGACCAAATTTTATAACAGGCAACTGAAATGAATAGGCATTTCCCAGAAGAAATACAAAGGGTCAATAAATATGAAATGTTCAACATTGCTGGTCATCAGAGGGATGCAAATTAAAACAACACTGAGATTCCATCTGACTCCAGAAAGAATGGCTGCCATCAGAAAATCAAATAATGGACTGAAGGGAGGGGAAGGGGAATGAAAAATAAAAACGTTATAACATGTACAGATATAAAATCCCTATGATGAATGTGATCGCTATGTAAATCTAAAATGTACCCATAAAATCTGATTTTTAAAAAATCAAATAATAACAAGTGCTGGTGAGGCTATGCAGAAAAATCCTTCTACTCTGTCGGTGGAAATGGAAATTACGACAAATATCACAGAAATCAGTATAGAGAGCCCTTAAAAAACTAAAACCAGAGACCGCATTTGACTTGGCTATTGCCCTTTAGAGGCACGCAACTGCTCACCTGAGAAAGTCCACTCCAAAACTGTTTGAAGGCGCTCAAACAGCTAATTAATTTTGTTTTCTCGTCTTCAGGTGTGTCCATAAACATGCTATCAAAACACAACCCATGTTATTTGCTATTTTCGAAAAGCGAGTAAAACCCGGCCCCAGGAGCGGATGTCCTCCTAACCCTCAAGACAAACCCAGCACTCAGCAAACACGACGTGCCGCGCGCACACTCACCCAGGGAACGCTTCTTCTATAATCTCCGTTTTCTGCAAAAATGAAGCAGAACATACAGACAAGTAAAGGGCCGGAATGAGAACGGGGCGCACGGACGAGGCCCGGGGCCGACCCAGCAGGACGAGGGTCGCCGAGGCCGCGCACAGCCCGAGGTTGACACCGAGGGCGCCCGGGTCGAGCCGAGCCACCTGCAGCCCCGCGTCTCCCGTCCCCACAGCCCCGCCCCGCGGGAGGCCGCACTCACCACCACCTCCTCGAAAATGCTCTGCAGCTGAGTCTCCATCTGTACCATCGCCCCACGTCTCCCGCGGCGCTGGGACGGGACAAAGCGCGCCCAGCGCCGGGAAGAAACCGGTGGAAAGACGGAGACACCGCCTCGCCCCACGGCCCGGAAGACAAATCCCGGAGCCCGACGGACGCCGGGAAGGGCTCGTACGCTCCCTTTACGAACCCCGCGGAAACTAGTACCTCTGACTGCTGGTTCCGCGGCGGAGAATGGCGGCCCACAAACATGAGCTTGGCTCCAAGTGCAGGTATGAGGCCGAGAGTCACAGTCCCGGTGACTGCAGGACGCCACCTGTTTCCTGGAGCCAGAATTGCTCTTATTCGGGGTTGGCTAGGAGCATGGTAGTCTGAGTGGCCTTCCATGAGAAGCACACCTTTCGGTGAATATTGGAACAGTTATTAAAACAGTATGAACTCATCATTATTGATTTTCAATTAGAATCACTGGCTGGGCGTGGGGGCACGCCTGTAATCCCAGCACTTGGAAAGCTGAGGCAGGAGGATCACCGTGAGTTCCAGGCCAGCCTGGGCTACATAGTGCTAGAGCAACCTGAACTAGATAGTAGGGCCCTGTCTCAAAAAAAAATTTTTTTTCCGTATCATCCTGGAAAGTTCCTGATGCACCATTTTGTAGCCAACACCCTCTCTACCAGACACTACTTTTATAAGCATTAATTAATTGCTCATGTTCTTAATCTTCGTTATGGTTGATACTCTGTGTCAACTTGAGAAGTTTATAAGTTTGAGAGACTCAGCAGGGAGCCAGGATCCTTACTTTGTAATATTCTCATCGGTGCAAGAGGAGGGCACAGAGATTTTGTGCCTGCTACACCTGCCCTGGAGGGGTGGTGGCCTATGTATAATATAAAGGAGAAGAGGCTGGTTCCCTCTTTTGTTCTGGCTGCTGCCTTGAAGTGTTGCCCCAGTGCCCTGCCACCCTGCCTTGGAGCCAGCTGATTATGGACTGAAACCTCCACAAACAGTGAGCTAAATAAACTTTTGCTTCCTTCGTTTTGGGTGTTGGGTGTTTCATCCCAGTAACAAGAGAAAAGTAACCAAGACAGTGTTTATATGATTAAGTTTTTACTCATTATTATTATTATTTTTGTCTTTTTGAGATAGGGTCTCACTATGCAGTTCAGGCTGGCCTTGAGCTCACTTTGTAGCCCAGGCTGGTCTCGAACTTGTAATGATCCTCCTGCCTCAGCCTCCCAGGTGCTGGGATTACAGGCATGAGCCACCACACCTGGCTTTTACTCATTATGAATCCTACAGCTTCTCATAAGTGTATTCATTTGTAGAAATTCCATAACACATTCCATATTGAAGTTCTTCACTGTGGTGAATGGTTTTTTTTCTGGGCTAACCTCCTTATTTTTTAGGTGATACCCTTGACTATTACAAAATTTTAATTTTTTGCAGCCAGTTAATTATTTTTAAAATGTGATGGCTATTGTTTTAATAGCCTTAACAAATCTTGCATTACCTGATGTTATCTTTTAATGTTTTCTTCTAGAAATTTGACAGTTTTAACTTTGCTGTTTAGGTCCATAGTACATTTGCTTTTTTTTCCTGAGAGAAGTGTTCACTGTGTAGTTTTGCTGGCCTTGAACTCACTATATATTGTAGACTGGCTTCAAACTTGAAGTGATCCTCCTGCCTTAGCCTTCTGAGCACTGAGATTACAGGTATGGGCCATCCCGATTGGCCTGTCTTTTGTTTCTATGTCATGCTTTCTCATAAGAGTGAGGACCTGGGGTTGGGGATTTAGCTCAGCGGTATAAGCGCCTGCCTTGTAAGCAGGCAGTCATGAGTTCGATCCCTGGTTCCGATAAAAACAAAAAAAGACAAAAAAAAGAGTGAGGACCTTCTGCAGTACAATGTCGAAGCTGAACAGAAGAGATGAAAATTCATCTATGCCTCGTGCAGCTCTAAGGGGAAATACTTAGCTTTTCATCTTTAAGTCTGACGTTGGCTGCATGGTTTTCATTGTGATCTGTCACATGCTGTTACCGCACTGAAGGAGACCTGTTGCTGAAGATTTTTATTGTGAACCTGCATGGGAATTTGTCAAATGCTTTCTCTGCCTCGCTTAAGAGCTCTATAGGAGTTGATATTTTATTGTGTGGTGAATTTAATTGATTGACCTTGAGATGCTGATGCTGACCTTGAAGATGTAGTCAGGGTTTGCAAGGGAATAAATTTAATACAAAACTCATAATTTATAGATTATTTTGTAATATTCACCAACAGAGTAAGATTCAGACGAGTTCAGGAGATCTGACCACATACCAGAGACCCAAAGAATGTAGCTGAGGATCCGGATCCCACAGCACTGTCCTGTACAAGTCCACCTGAACACCTAGAGCCCGTGGCAGTGGCCCCCAGGAGTACAGCGGGAAGCCAAGAGCCCATGACAATGACTCACATAAATTTGTACCAAGAATCTGGACTGGGAAGGCCCAAAGGCCAGTGGCGGAAGCTAAACAGTCTGTGCCAGAGGGATGAAGGATCTGTGCCAGCAGGCTGAGGGATCTGCACTGGAGCCAGGAAGCAGTGCTCAAGGGAAAGACCAGAGCTCCTCAGAAGAGAACCACAGCCACCCTCATCCACAGCAAGGACTGGAGTGCCTATGATGATGAGAACAGCTGAGATCAGATCAGGAGAACCAGAAGGACAAGCTTCTCCAGAATCCACAGCACATCATTTGCCCCTCTGCTCTAACACAGTTGCCAGTGATCCTCACGTGGACCTTCCACCCCCAGGACCGCATGGACTCAGTTCAGGTGGGTGTTACAAGCAGACCGTCAGTCAACCCACCCCATCAACTTTGCTCATGTGTTGAGTTTTTCTTATTACTATTTATTCATTGTGTTCTTCATATGTCATGGTGATTGCCAGCCTCTAATCCTCTGTATGCCTGGTGGGAAAATCACCACTAGGAGTCCTCACCCCAAAGAGCCTGTACCATGCCAGGGGCTGTGCACAGTGCAGACCCCTGAGCATGCGCAGCGCTATGTGGCTGCTGGGCCCTGGGCTGAGGAACTCGGTCCTGTCCAGGCCAAAACTGAGTCTCCTAATGATTGCAGTGTGCACCCACAACCACTGAATGTTGTGTAGTCCTGCCAGTTGATGCTAAAAACAGATGAATCATTCAAATTCCTACAGGAGAATAGCTTTAAGATTCAGGTATCCCTACAATGAATGTGATCATTATGTGTATGGGGGGAACTGCTCAGCCTGAGACAAGGCTCGGATCATGTAAGGGTGCTTCCAGACAGCCCTGAAGACATGACCCTGTTGTCAGCCCGGAGCACATGGAGCACAAATGACCACAACTTGGCTGTGTACAATTGTTCATGGACCAGGGAGGCCTGCATGTAAGAATGTAAATCAGTGATGCCAACCTTTATACACAATAAAGATTCCGGTGGCTGTAGTGCTGTGCTCCATGCTGTCTGCTGTTGTTGCTGATGCCTGTTACTATAGAAGACCATCTGGAAGGCGCTCCTTGAATGCAGAACAGTCACCTCTGCATTAATTAAAGTAGGCCCTGGCTCCTTGTACTGATATGTACAGAGCTGGCTGAGCTATTTCCTTCTCTCTTCAGCTGGTTCTAAGCAATGTAAATAGGGCTGGCCGAGGTACTGAGATGTAATCTTTGAAGCCGCCAACAGTCTCACCTCATGTCTCCCTGTAAATGGTTGAGCACAGTGCGATAGCAGAGCCACATAGCTGCAGGAGTGTCAACAGGCTTCGAGCCTCAAGATGAGAGGCTATGACTTTCCAGGGCACAAAAGTTTACGTATCAGAAACTGAAGAAACAGCCTCCTAAACACTCAAATGCTTCCACAATTGAGTTATGCAGATTGGTCTTTCTGAATGAATTTTGCCCTAGAATAAGTTACATGATATTATGGTAGTGGGAAGCTGAATCAGGGGAGGGGGAACCAAGGGATGTTTACCTTAAGGTCACTTCCTCCTTCCCCTATTACCACTTCCTTTTTCCTTTCCCAGTGCACTTGAAAAAAGTTCCAATCAGCTCCTTACACCTCATCAATGCCTTCCCTAAGTGCCACCCCAGTCATATATATATGACACACATATATATCCCATACCCCACGTTCTGGTCACAGGAAGCTAGACCGTCTATGGTCATGGACTCCTCTCCACCTTCTTGGAATAAAGGCTACTTTTTACTTTCTATTTTGCTTTTTTATCACACCAAAACACTAACACTTTCTGCATACCCTTCTCTCTGCATGTTGCAGAGGTCTTTTTGACCACCTAGTTCAGCCTAGCTCACACACCCACATAATTCCCACGGTTCTCACCGTCACTCATCCTCAAGCCACTCCCTTCTTCACAAATTGATAAATTCTGGGAGAGGCACTGGGGTGAGGGTTTTGTTCTGTGAACCCTCACCTGGACCAGACTCGGGACCCCTCGGCTGTCCATAACTATAAATACGTCTTAGTGTCTTTATTCTCACTGTGGGTTGCACTAGAGGTGACAGATTGGAATTAACTCACTGGATTTCCAATAATGTTTCAAAGGGATTGCAAGTGTAAATTTCCTGGTCCCTGAGAAAGATGGTAAAAAGGGATTGCAATATTTGGATAATGATATCACACACATGCATTCTTTAACCTTAAGTATCTCACCCTTGAAAATCTCCCTTACCCTCCACTCCCAAGCAGGCCAACAGTATATCAAAAATGTACCAGTAAAATTAACTTTAAAAAAGATTTAGATTTAAACCAGGCATGGTGATGCATGCTTATAATCCCATACTCGAGAGGCTGAGGCAGAAAGATCACAGCAAAATCAAGCCTGAACTACACAGCCAGTTTGAAAAAAAAGAACAAAAAATGAACATCATCCTCATGGTCATAGTAATTGAATAAAATAGCAGACCATGAGCCCACCGAGCCATGAAAATTTTGAAAACAAGCTGGTGTGCAGGTTAGTGACGGGCTGCTGGCCTAGCATGTTCAACCTCCAGGACAGCTCCCCGGAAGTGCCTCCAACTGCTTCCCCCTCCTCCACTCCTACCACACTGGCAGCCTCTCCACAGGTCCAAATGCAGCAGAGCCAACCACAAAGGACCACACCCTCAAACCAGAAGCTGAGATAAACTCAGGAGGCTGGGGCAGGAGGGTCCTTGCGAGTTTGAGGCCGCTCTGGAATACCTAGTGAGAGCCTGTCTTAAAAAATGCAAAGGCAGAGGCAAAGCAAAGCCCCTTTCTCCTCTTAGTCACCTGAGGAGTCGGGAGGCTGTGGCCAAGGAGAAATCAGGTGAAGAGGGGGTGAGGACGGAGGTGGCTTTCAGGGCAGGATAGGCAGGGGACTCTTTCCTGAGTCCCTCAGGTTCCGGGCCTCTGACACTCTGGCTTTAGCAATGAGATCTGTGCTGCACTTGGGGTCAGTATGACTGTAAATAAGAAATCTGTGTTGTTTTAAGCCACCCAGTGTGCGGCAGTTTGGAACAACAAGCACAGAAGATTAATCCAAAAGTGTAAAGCTAACGTAATGCCTAGGTGTCGGGTATCTTGGTTTCCTGAGGGGCACGGATTATCTGACCTGTCTGACCATTTGCTCCAACAGAGGGGGTTTCTTGAGTGGCTCATTATGTGGCCTTAAAGGACAGTAATCCTCCTGCCTCAGCCTCCTGACTACTGGGATTATGGAAATGGGCATCCGTGCCTGGACTGAGCTGAGTCATTTTAAATTCACGTCTTTGTTAGAAGATGTTCTTGCTTCACTCCGGTGCCAGTGCCGAGGATTTCCAACGCCGGCTCCATAAAATGCTCCAGGACTCCAACAGACCGGGAACTTCAGGGGCGTCTCTCTGGGAGACAGAGCCCTGCTCCAGCCAGCTCTGCAGATCCCGTGACCCTCCTGCTATGGACAAAATCTAGAGTCGCTAGGAGCCGCCCTCCCCTCCTGTGTCCCGCTGCCACTGACTTGCCTGGGTGGTTGTCACCGTGCGCTGATGAGTCTCTAAGAACAGAACAGCCTCACACACACACACTTTCTCACACATACCCACTCACACCCACACCCCAAGGTGCGATGTGGGCCGCAGGCGCGAGGTCTCCACGAGTGCCACCTCGTCCCGGAGCCTGCCTAGTCCCTGAGAGGAGCCGGCGGCCTCTGCACAGGGGCTGCGCTCTGCTAGCTCAGAGCTGGATGCAGAGCGCCCCCTAGCGTCCGTCATTCACTTTGCCATCCTTGGGAAAAGCTAGTTTTCCTTCATTGAAAATACCCAAAACGTAGTGGTGCATGCCTCTAATCCCAGCACTGGGGAGGCTGAAGCAGGAGGATCGTTGCGAGTGTTAGGTCCACCCGACTGAGAGACAGCACAATAATCATGGCAATGGCTCAAAGCTGTGCCACGACAATGCACACCTTCTTCCCAGGGGCCCTATGGCTTCTCCCTCCCAAAAGTCTATGCCAAAGCTCAGGCATATAAAGGTTTACCCAATCCCTGTGCTCTCACAAAATAACTCAGCTCACGCGAGCCACCAAAGCCCCTCCCCCATCAGAGCCTGTATCAGGCAGAACCTGCCCTTTGTCTGTAGAGAGCCACCACAGCCTTCTCTGTGGTGACCTCTCTGTGCCTCCCTGCTTATTAAACTCTTTTCTTATCTACGTGCCTCGTCTTTTTAATATTCTGCATTGCTCTAGATTGAGGACAAATCACTCCTTGAGTTGGTTCCATGACTCCAGAGGTTTGAGGCTGTGTGGCTCCTGGGGAATCTGTCCCCTGGCCTGAGCCCCCTCCAGCCTACGGACCTCTCCTCTCTGCTTCTCTCTCTCTCTCTCTCTCTCTCTCTCTCTCTCTCTCTCTCTCTGGGACTGGGGACTCCTCAGTCTTGCCGTTTCTAGCCAACATCCAACACTGGCCTTCATCTTGTCAGGTCCAACGTGAGCCTCCCCTCTACTTTGGGGTGCCTGTCCAAAATCGTGGCCACATCAGGACATCCCCCTACTACTCTACGTCATTCTGGGTCCTCTGCGTCCTTTGGGACCCCACAGGCCTCCTCTGGTGAGGACTAGAGAGGTCTTGTTGGGACTACGCTGCTACTGGCTGTGCCTCACTGGAGGGTGAGGATTCTCCGCTGATTCCCAACCCTCCGGACACTGGCTCACCTTCCTAATTGGAACACATGGGTAATAATTGTTACTCGACAAAATCATTCCTCTGGGCTGCGCTTAGACACACTGGGGCTACAAACTCTCAGACCAAAGAGGCTCACATTAAGAGATTGTGACTTTTACTACTGAAACGACAAGTGGGGTAAATACCTTATGGACAGCTGCGGGCACACCCTGACCTATTCCAAACCTGCAAGGCCTCCTAAATTCTTGTAACTCACTTCACAGGTCCTCCTCCTTTATCAGCTTGCCACTGTGACTCTCTCCTCTCTTGTTTCTGAGACCGGTAGATGAAATACCTCCCCGCTATAGCCATAACTCACAGTGAGGCCCCTGCTCTCTCTGCCCCACCCCCGCCTTCTTCCTCCTCCTCCTCCTCATCTCACAGTTACTCTCAGAGGACTACACCACTGTGAGCTCCTCCTCTGTTTACCCAACTCTGTCCCCCCTTCTCTCCCCCTGTCCATCATACTTGAACCTGTGGTCTTCCTAAACTCCCATTTTATTTCCCAAGCAGCACCAAACTTTCAGACTAAATTCAGAACATCCGACCCTGGTCTTCAATCCCCTCAGGGAGACCTCTTACATATGACTTTCCATGTCTTCAATGATAGACCGAAAAAAACAGAAATAGGATGACCTTAAAAAGGTTATGTTCCAGGCTAAAACTCTAAGGCCAATTTATGGCCACAGCAGCTATAGCTGCAGTGAGCGGCACTCCAGGCTCCAGATAAAACACAGGCTGGAGGAAAAAAAAAATCTAAAAACCCGAGGACCCCCCCCCAACATCATGTTTCAAGTTTGGCATAAAAACAGCGCTGGACACAAGCCTATCCTGACTTGCAGCCATGACTGGGAGCCGGACCTATCTGCAACCAAGAAGGCCACTGGAAGTACAACTGCCCTGTCCACACCAGAGTGGGTCAGTCATCACCTGCCCCAGCCTCACAGGACGGGACACTGGTGCCTCGGCCTCATCACCAGCTGATCTGCTCTGCATGGCTGCTGAAGGGGATGGTGGGGCTGGGGCCACGGCCTCACCAAGGTCTCTCTCTCAGAGCCCTGAGTCTCCCTGCACATCTCAGGTTAAACCTTCTCTTTCCTTACTGACACGCAGGCCACCCGTAATGCTCTTCCCGAGTTCCCAGGCCAGTGTTCCCGTCTGCAGTCTGTGTCGTGGGAGCTGACAGCCAACGTACATGACCTCCTCAGACAAAACCTGCTCCTGCGGATTCTAAACGCTGCCCTTACACACAGCTGTGTTACTATCCCAACCTG